GAGTAATTCATTGATATTTTCTGGTGCACACGCAATTCCGTGTTTTATGGTGTAGTGTCAGCTATTCGGATTTGTTTCTGTTTGACACTTTTGGTATTTGGTGCTGCATTCTATAAAAGTGAAACAAGATTCCAGAAATACCAAAAAAAGGGCTGGCATAACAATATTACATGCAAACTGCACTTGAGTCCATTTCATTTTCATCAGTTATTTTCACTTATATTAACTTTCCATTGTACATGTTATTCAGACATGCCATTTATCACAATTAACCACTTCATTTGTCTTCCCAAATTGACTCATGTTAAAAATATATCTTGCTTCAACTCATAGCAGTTAGAATGAATGCATCTAGGTAAAAAAAGTACGGTAAAGTTTGTCCTGCTATGCGCCATGTAGGCACTTGGGGTGAGAGGAGGTATAGCTCCTCCCTTTCTTGACCTCGGCACTAGATGGGGGTGAGTGGTCAGCATCACGCCCCGGCCGGCTTTACCCCCGGGAAAAGACCCTGGTACCCATTGGATAGGAGGCTGGGTGGGCCCCAGAGCCGGTCTGGACACAGAGGCTAGAGGAAAAATCCTCTGCCCCTGTCGGGGATCGAACCCCGGCCGTCCAGCCCATAGCTAGTCACTATACTGACTGAGCTATCCCGGCTCATATGCATCTAGGTAGGTTTCATAAAATGAGGCGGAACATTGAATGCTGACACTGTTTCCATAATCTTCAGACATCTCATACTACACAATCATTTTATTTTTTCTTCACTACCTGTACTATATTTATTTTTAAACAAGTTATACACAAATACTTCATTTTTTAATTTTCCAATCCAAAAATAAGGGTGTTTTTTATATGAGTAAATGTGGTATATATTATACTTTCTTTCATTTTTTAATGTAGTGATCACAGAGTGACATGTATTATTCTGTGATTATGAAAAATGAAATAGAGTTTATTGTTTGAGATAATAAAGTGAAAGACGCCTTTATCGATGAATCTGGAAGTGGTACTTCTGCATCAGTAATAGAAATTGCAGGCTCAAATTCAAACATTTCTGTTGATATAAAAGCTTTGCAAAGTGCAGAAGTAAAAAATTCAGGTCTAGCATACAACACAAAATATCTAAGGAGAACATGAGAAAACTTAAGATAATGCAGAAAGTGTTCTTGTATTTTGAAACAAATTAATTACCATGTTCGTAGATGACAGTACTTAACTAAAATACAGGTATATCATTGAAAACGCAACCCAGTATCATGTACCATGGTACAAAAATGGAATCAGGAGCGTGTTCATTGTGGTTACTAGGCCGTTGCTCACAGCTGTTGGGCTGTGCGTGTGCAAACAAGGTTTATTCATGAGCAGAAGATGTTTATTCTCAAGCATTTCTTTGCATCAGAATCATTTTCAGCTCTTTGTTAAGCATTTAGCAATGCATATCCTCTCAAGGAAGTGCAAAATAAGACAACAATAAAGAGAAAGGTAACATAATTTTGGGACATGTAGTCTGGTAGAAGTTTACTAATGTTTCAGAGGTCCTTACTGCCTCCATCATCAGGGCAATTGCCCTGATTACAGTGCCCAGTGTAACAACCCAGAAGACAGCTATCTGCAGACTCACTGCCCTGAAAACCTCAAATCCTGCCTGGCTCATTGTGATTTCCAGTTGTGCCAATGAGTTGAATATATCAAAATGAAGTCTTGATGTATGAAATAACAGTGGAAAATGTAAAAGCCTTGATCATAGTCCATGCATGTGACATTCCAAGTTAAATATTCTGGCATAATGTTCATCACAACCATTTAATTGACTAAAGAATGTAATGAGTAATTAAAGAATTATCTTGTCAAATGAGAGAGTTTACTTAGTTACTGTTACATTTATATATATTTAAAAATTGTCCACAATGTAAAGTAATAATTTTCTTTTCTCTTGCAGCACTAGGCAAAATGACAGTAATCAGAATACACATCCTAATGAAATTTTGTCATAGAAGTCCATTAGTCTGATAGTTGGTAAAAGAATCTGAAGTATTTTGCTTCCGTTGGACTCTCATTTTGTATATAGGGCTCATGAGAGCAAATAAATAAATAAAATAATAAGCCTGGTATGTACCGTACATTTTAGACCTTCTGTGTTTGCCCATGGCACAACATTAGAAACTGTTGCAGGTCCCACTGTCATGCATTGATAATAATAACAATAATGTATATGCAGTGCTAGACCAGCATCTCTGTTCCAAGAGTGGAGTAGATCCGTGATATTCCGACATAGCAAACAGTGAAGGGTTCTGTAGTGAGTGTGATGATACTTGTGTTTTTACAGACAGCATCAGTTGTGTTGGGAGTTAAGGAAATTTAGAATTAGAACTAATCCTGTTATAGAAGAGAAGACTTTCAAAAATCATTGTAGCTTTTAAATAATAAAATTAGAATGAGTATTTGTCTTCATAGTAAAGAGTCACACATACTACACTGTGTGATATACCTTTATTATGAGAGTGTGATTTTTTAAAACATGTAAAGATTTCTTTTGTATGCTGATCAGTGTTTGAAGATAATATTTCAATGAGAATAGTGTCATTTCCACATAAATGATTTACATACTTTATTCTGATATACAAGTGATTTGGTGAGGAAATGTGGCAAAACAAATGAAGAGTTTGATGTTGGTAGTTCCAAATTCAATTCCTTTATTAGAGTGTTTGCCAACAGCAAAGAGCCTATGACAGGCAAACAGTAATACAAAAGTACAGCATAAAATACAAATTAAATACAAAAATAAATAAACACTAAAAAAATACAAGGAAACAAAATAAAAACAATAATCAAAATAAAACAAATAACCAAGCTAGATCACCAATCTAGACCACTCTCTAGATCATTTCTCTTATTGAGAAAGTGCCCTCAAAAGAAACAATGTTTATGCCAGATACGTCCAAAAATTTACAAATGTCATTTGCAGCAATTACACACCTGGCTGAAGGACTATGTCTAAGCACACTGCACACACTAAACACAGAAAATTCTCTTATTTGCCTTGATGGCACATGAATACCAACAGTGTACATGATGGAATTGCAATTTATTTTGCCCTTAAATACATTAATAAGAAATAAATTATCGAGATGTCGTCGTCTGGAATAAAGTGTTCTAAAATTTAAAGTAGTTAAAATCATTTCATATTTACGTGTGATATTAAACTGAAAAAACCGGTAATTGCACGAACTGGCAAATTTCCTTTGAATATTTTCTAATTTATTAGAATCTGTGTAAGATTATTCCATACGACTGAGACATACTCAAGAGGAAAAATTATATGCACCAAAATGAATAAGCCCTAAGGTCCTTAGTGCCCGTGTATGAGCAAAATTTACATGGCAGTGAAAGTATAGCTTAGTGTCTAACAAGACACCAAGATCTTTTATACAGTCAGTACAGAAAATTAAAATATCACCAACAAAGTGGTTAAAATGAATACTGTTGGTTTTCCGTGCAAAGGATATAAATTTGGTTTTCTCAATATTAAGTTCCTTATTGTTAACATCACACCACTGATGTACGGAATCAGTATCTGCTTGAAGATATTTGCAATCATCCACAGGTTTAATGTCACAATATAATTTCAAGTCATCAGCAAATAAGAGAAATTTAGAACAATTAATTTTATCACAAATGTCGTTAATAAAAACATTAAATAAGAGAGGTCCCAAGGTAGAGCCTTGCAGCACTCCAGATAACACTGAGTAAGCAGAAGAATATAAATGCAGGGGACTGGTCCTCCAGGTTGGGGGTTGGGCGATAGGCTGACAACCTACCCCCGTAAAAGGAACATTGTTAGGAAACCACAGAAAGGTTAAAACTGTGGGTAGAAAAATACTCCAAAACTACCAATGTGGATTCTGACCTGGAAAATCTACGAGTAACCAAATTTTTACAATAGGCAAATGTTGGAGAGCATGCTAGAATATGACATAGATTTACCACCTTTTTGTGGATTTTAGAATGGCTTAGGACTCGGTCATAAGAGAAACTGTATGAGGCAATGCAAGAATTCAAACTTCCTAAGAAACTAATAAAACTAACAGAAATGACATTGGAAAAGACTGTATGTGCAATAAAACTGTATTAAGGTCTTCAGGGCACCTGCTTTATACAGTGTCCTTACGTTCCAAGTACCAAATTCAATATCCATGTTCCTTTGCTTGTGCCATCTTAGGTATTCCAATCCATTCCGAGGCATCTACAAAGGTTTCTCTACAATTGGTTTTTACGGGGTGGGTTGTCGGACACACGCAAAACCAGAACCGATGGAGCAGTTCGAGACACCTTTCGTCTGGCCCCTAAGCATTGACCTGTCCAGCAAGGTTGAATCTACCAGTAGCTAAGCTACCGCTGGCATAGCTCTCCGCTTCGAACAGGGCACACAATCTCACCGCCACGTAAAGGCAGTGTCTCAAGGGAGAGATCAACGTAATAGGTCCCTAATTTTTTATATAAATCAGGAGGGGGTGGTTCCAGCTCCAGTCACTACAAAGTTCATTACCCAAGATGGAGGGATACACATTCGTAGCACAATGCATAATATTCCAAGTAGGATTGAAATGATGAAGCAAGTAAGTCATTTGGTCGTAGTGAGTCCTTTGGTTATACAGCAGAATCTGCAACTACTACTCAAGCTTAAAGACCTTTTTCTGGGAATCCCCAAAATTCCTCACATGATGAAATAATTTTTTGTAAATATAACATTTTAGTACTGTTCCGGATGTCCAAAAGTATATGGTATTTTGTTTCTTGTTAAGTATTTTTAACACTGTTTTTCTAAAAATGGGTGAGATATGAAAAACGTTGCGTTCTATGGAGTATCAAAAACCGACAAATCATTCTTGTGCTTAGAAAATGCCAGTGATGATTTTTCACTTTGTGTTGCATTTCTGGTACACTTTATTCATTAACTTATTGTTTCTGCAAGTGAAGAATGTGACCCCATCCTACCAGTTTGTCAGCATCCTACCAGTTTGTCCGATAGTAACTGTAGAACTTAAGACCATAAAGTCCAAGCATTGGTATGAGATCTGAGTTCTCTTCAACCATCAGGGTGAAAAAGTTGATGTAAAATTATTAACAGTGCTGCTGTGTTTCAGGCTCTCGCCATAGAAATCAAACATGATGATAAGCTTACAGAAGATGGAGTGTATATTCAGGTTGCTCTGTTGTATACATCATGTGGGGGTCAGAGACGCATTCGCATCCTCAATCTTTCACTCAATACGTGCACAGAGATGGCTAACTTTTATCGAAGTTGCAACCTGGATAGCATTATTAACTTTAATGCTAAACAAAGTATGTGATTCATGATTTATTGTTATGCATTATTTATTAGCATTTGTCATTGTTGTAAGATGAGTGGGAGTGGGGCATGCAGCATGCAAATTGGACATGGGAAATGCATAGAAATGTTAGAAAGACAGCCTGACACACTAGGGACATAAAGAAATTTTTGCAACACTATTACTAAACTGGATGTCAAACATCTACTGATTAAACAGTTGTAGATTATGGTTGGTGGCAGACGTTTGTTAACACTGCAGTCATCCTCCAAGTTGCACGAAATGGGGGGGATTTCCAAATCAGCTAAGTGACTGTCAATTCCTCAAGTAGGACTCTGCTACGTGCAGGTAGCAGGTCTAAAGATGAAGAGCCAGATACTCATGACAAAGGTTGTCTAAAGGTTTTGACATGCGTGCATCATAAGACTGAAGCATATTCTTGGACATCATCTGTTAATTGAAAAAATGTAAAGACCACAAAATATTTTGGGAGGTAGCTTTAAACACTGTAGTATAAATTTTCTCCAGATCAGGGAATCACATATGATTTGTATGATTTATGTTTGGTTTCAAATTTATGTGGAGATATTCTTAAGAACTCATTGAATGTTGATCTTTATTGTTTATTATATGTTTGCTTTGTTTATCTGATAGCTGTATTTCGACTGTTGTCGTCATCACGAGATGCAGTCAAAAAAGAACTGGTAAGTCAGTGTGTACAGATGCTGGCTTATCACAGGCAGTGGTGTGAGGGTCCAGCTTCAGGACGGCTGGTCTTGCCTCAGAGCATGAAATTGCTCCCACTTTATATTAACTGCATTCTCAAGAATGATGCAGTTTCCGGTTAGTACACATATTTTGAGCATGTGCTTAGGTTAACATTTGCATCGCTAGTGCAGCGGCTATGGGTGCAACTCCGTGGGCTGTATGATTTTCACTTTTTGTTGTAAATTTCCACAGGCCAGAGAAAACCACTGAATGAAGCCTTGGGAAATGCATAGAAATGTGAGACAGACAGCCTGAAGTGTAGACACCACTAGGGACTACTACACCAAATCTCTGTAACATTCACAAAGTTTGGGATCCGTTTGAGTCAATCAAGTGTTTATGTACTTGGAATTCATTTCAGTTTAAATGGGAAATGATTTTTATTTCACCCTTTGCATGTTAGTAGCATGTATCTACAGTTCACAGATAGGTAACATCATACATAAGATTTCAGGTTTTTACAGTGATAACTGATGACAGAGGCAGTGTGTTCCTCCACAATGCTGGTATCTATAAGTCCATGCACCATTACTATCCAGAAGACAAACATCATAATAATACCATTCAATTTTCTGCAAAGTACAAAAGAAGCTTCTGAATTGGAAATTATGATACATTTCTAATGGAACTGCTACCAAATTCATTTTAGAAATCTACGTACTTGTTTAGAATTGTAAGTACTCACCTAACAAGTACACACCATCATCTCTAATATTATCTGACGTGCAGCAGATGAAAGATGGCAGTTCATCAGAATCAACGTTGATATCTTGAAGTGGGATAAGTCGTGGGTAAAAGAACCCAGCAGATGATGGGATATCCATTACTGTAACTACTTGCATTAGAAATGACCGGTCATCGACAGTCATGTCAGATCCTGTAAACAGCATATTCATAATTATTAAGATAACACTTCCAATTTCACAATAAATAGAGATAAGAATGTGGCCTTTTAGTCTGAAGTTATATAAAATTCAAGTACCATAATTATGAGCATGGACAAAACCTTTGTTTTCTGTTTTATAAGAGAAAATAAGTTTAGGCCTGATGATATATGAAACCCACAATTTGGATATATATTATCCCCTGAAAATAACTCTGTGGGTTTCAGTCTCAAGACTAACATGACCTCAAGACAAAAATTCAACCACATGTGCATATTCTTCCACTGTATGTAATCATTCTTTTGGTATGTTCTGGGTGGCTGTGTGACACCCACAATGTTTAGATTCAGTACTTATGTGAAGCTGCAGTTTATAGAAGTCAAAAACTATAGAGTATACTACGCAAAACTGCTGGCTTATGTAGGAATAAATTGTATCTGCACACTCAGACTAATTAAAGAAACATTTAAGACCAATCACTGTGCCCAGAGAAATATTTAATAGTTTACCACATTATATTAAACTTCTAAGGTAATAGAAAGAGAACATATCTATGAAACAGGGAAGGGGGTGTAAGGTGAAATACCGTAATTTTGTCATTTACAATTTAAATTCCCTCTGATAATGTGGTAAAACCTAATCTAAATGGTCTAGGTTGTCAAACAGGTGTTTTATGGACCTTCTGTGCTATGGGCTCTTAGTAGAACCAATAGGTATGCGGTGGTTCCGTACAACTGTACTTCACACTTATGGCAAAGGCTGCCATAATATTACTGCACAGTGAAGTATACTAAAAACACGGCTTCATTCAGTGGTTTTCTCTCGCCTGTCTAAAATTACAACAAAAAGTGAAAATCATACAGCCCACGGAGTTGCACCCATAGCCGCTGCACTAGCGATGCAAATGTTAACCTAAGCACATGCTCAAAATATGTGTACTAACCGGAAACTGCATCATTCTTGAGAATGCAGTTAATATAAAGTGGGAGCAATTTCATGCTCTGAGGCAAGACCAGCCGTCCTGAAGCTGGACCCTCACACCACTGCCTGTGATAAGCCAGCATCTGTACACACTGACTTACCAGTTCTTTTTTGACTGCATCTCGTGATGACGACAACAGTCGAAATACAGCTATCAGATAAACAAAGCAAACATATAATAAACAATAAAGATCAACATTCAATGAGTTCTTAAGAATATCTCCACATAAATTTGAAACCAAACATAAATCATACAAATCATATGTGATTCCCTGATCTGGAGAAAATTTATACTACAGTGTTTAAAGCTACCTCCCAAAATATTTTGTGGTCTTTACATTTTTTCAATTAACAGATGATGTCCAAGAATATGCTTCAGTCTTATGATGCACGCATGTCAAAACCTTTAGACAACCTTTGTCATGAGTATCTGGCTCTTCATCTTTAGACCTGCTACCTGCACGTAGCAGAGTCCTACTTGAGGAATTGACAGTCACTTAGCTGATTTGGAAATCCCCCCCATTTCGTGCAACTTGGAGGATGACTGCAGTGTTAACAAACGTCTGCCACCAACCATAATCTACAACTGTTTAATCAGTAGATGTTTGACATCCAGTTTAGTAATAGTGTTGCAAAAATTTCTTTATGTCCCTAGTGTGTCAGGCTGTCTTTCTAACATTTCTATGCATTTCCCATGTCCAATTTGCATGCTGCATGCCCCACTCCCACTCATCTTACAACAATGACAAATGCTAATAAATAATGCATAACAATAAATCATGAATCACATACTTTGTTTAGCAATTAGGTTGATTGTGCTATGTAGGTCTAAACTTTTGTATACATCTGGCAACTGAATGCAGGTATCCAGTGCCAGATTGAAAATGCGGGTGTGTCTCTGACCCCCGCATGATGTACATAGCAAAGCAACCTGAATATATACTCCATTTTCCTGTGTCAGGTTATCTTCATGTTTTATTTCTATGGTGATAGCCTGCAACACAATAGCACTGTTAATAATTTCACATCAACTTTTTCACTCAGATGGTTGAATAGAACTCGGATCTCATACCAATGCTTGGACTTTGTGGTCTTTAAATTCTGCAGTTACTGTGGACTCTTGCTAAGCAGACATAAATTTCACATCCACAGAATTTCACTGTCACTGTCTGAATTACAAATATGAAGCAGGACAGCAAAACTAATTGGTATGTTTCTACATATGAAAAATTATCACTTGAAAACACATCCAAAATTTTAAACCAATTATACACATTCCTTTTATATTACTGCAGATGTACTTCCTCACCTTATCACAGTCAATGCTGGCAAGTATAATTTCCCTGTGTTTGACACAAGGAGGTTACCATAAAAATCAGTTGCCTTAACACCTGTAGATGTGCGCACTGTCATAGTGGCAACAAATACAACTGGACGACTCACAACATGTTTGATATCTGCTATAAGTTGTTCACCATCCACATCAGCCTGTCCAACATTTGTAAATGTAAACACATAATTATTCTTTAATGTATGACACATCAGAGTGATAGTTTCACACTTTCAGAAAACCATTTACAGCAATGTTTTTATATCAATTTCATTATAGCATTTGACTAAAATTTCTATTAAGCAACTTACTCAATCTCAGGTTTTTAAGTAACAGTTCACATACCTTAAAATCTGAGTACCTGAAGATTTCTCCACCAGAAAATCTTGGTACTTGGCCAATGGTGGCCAAATCTATGTAAGAGTCACTGAATGCAAAGAGATCGACACTGCATCCAGCTGCCCCACATTCCTGGCCCAGGCTGCTGTACACATCCCCCTGTAGTGCTGAATTAATCAAAAATGTTAGTTTACTCATCCATGAATCATTGTTCAACTCAAATCCAAACTTCTGGCAGTTCACCAAAGAAATGGTGTCTTTAATCCAAGACTGCCAAAATAGTAAAAATACCTCTCTCACATTCCCTGCAACTTATCCAAGCAACAGAACTATGAGCTGGGATAGCTTAGTCGGTATAGTGACTAGCTACGGGCCGGGCAATCGGGGTTTGATCCCACGCGGAGGGCAGAGGATATTTCCTCTAGCCTCTGAGTCCAGACCGGCTCGCTCTGGGGCCACCCAGCATTGTAACCGTTTTCTTGGTAAGATTTAAGGTAAGTTTTCTTGTTTGCTTGCCTGTAGTAACTGTAATATTGTCAGCAATGGGTCCTGCGACGTTTTCCGTAATTTACTCGATGTAGGAGTTAAGACTTCTAGACCTGTCTCATTTAACGTAGGTTGACGCCCCTCTAGCTGCTCATAATCGCTTCCTTCCTCCCCTTCTATGCCTATTGCTACATTCTTTTAGGTCTGGGATGTCTTGTCGCTACTATGTGAGGGTAGCTCGTCCCCATGACCCTCAAAAAACTGGGTCAGATCCGAATCAGTATGTCTATATAAGGGGTCTTGATCTTGTATATCTACCGTCCTATAACGAGACATAAGACTCTTATGCTGGGTTTAATTAAAGATCGCCTCAGCTGTGTCTTTAGGTATTTATTTGCATTTGATTGTTGAATTAATTCCTCCGCACGATACTGGCAGATGATGCAATTTTGTTTGTGAACAAAGTAAAGTGAATACACGTATTCGTCCGTGATAACTGACTAAGAATTTGTATTGTTAAAATTCGAGGACGAAGTTGCTCCAACTGATAACTGACGACTGACTGTTAAAAAGAAGTTTGCCTCTCAAAAATATTAATTTCTCCCTCTCATTCCGAAATCGGAATATTGTAACATTATTGGTTCGACTTCCCGCTTTGTTGTGATTGGTGGAATAATTTAAATTTAAGTCAGAATAACTTTTCTCTGATTGGTCGGTTCGATACCCGAGGCCAACTGTGACAGTTTACATCGCGTGGTGACGCAAGGTCACTTATGCCTACTTTGCATAAACCCAATACATGGTCTATGTTCTGCTGACCCTTCGCGTCAATGTGCGGTTGTGGATATATAAAAAACGGAAACATTACTTCATCCTTGATCGGTACGAGCCCGACCTGATGATTAGACGATTATTAAAAAAAAAATACAGCCTCCTGTCCAATGGGTACAGGGGTCCTTTCCCGGGGATAAAGCACGGCCGAGGCGTGATGCTGACCACTCACCCCCATCTGGTGCCGAGGTCAAGAAAGGTTAGGAGCTATACCTCCGCTCACACCAAGTGCCTGCATAGGCATGTAGCGGGACGCAAAAAAACACAATCCTACAACTTCACATTATATTCTTATAAAAAGCTCTTCTCTGTGCTTTGGAGAAACATTTCAAACATAATGTAAAACAATCAAGTTTGTGGATAGGCGTGGATCAACCAATAAGCAAAGGCACGTAGAACACAAAATCTTCAATGAAATATATTATCACAAACTAAGACGCGCACAGTTTTATAAGGTAAAATAAAATAACTTACCCCACCGGACGTCCGCACAAGCGGGCACACCGCACAGACCTAACGCCGCAGATAGAAAACTGTACGCGGATTTCTTGAAATGTGCGGTGCAAACGCCTGTACAGCAGTGGTCTCTCAAGTTACTTGGCAACACTGTGCTGAGAAGTGGACTGTTCCAGTTAGAGGGGTGGGGGCAAGGACAACTTCAGAAAGTTCGAATGTTGATTGTCGCATCATTGGCTGTAACCAAAATGTTAACATATCCTAAAAGTACAGGAATATAATGTTATATTTGTGTATTACCTATTTCCATCTACCTTTAAAAATTATTCGCATAACGAATTATACCAGTAGCTGGAATACAAGCATTGTAAACGTTTGACTGCTTCTGCAGCCTGATGTTATAAACAACCATGATTATTTCAATCCTTCTGTCACCATAAACAACATAATAATCATTAATTAAACTCGCCATATAGTCGAGGCAAATAGTTTTGTGTAGCGGTAATATATTCGGCCCAAATGGAGTTCCGAAGGCAACGGAAAACATTCTGCGTATTGTAGTCTGAAGTAAAATATTAATTATATAGTTCTGTTGACGATATCTATAAAACTTTGTGATTAATACCGGCATTGAATGTTGGCAAATGAGGCCAAGTCCCACCCGGTGTGTTAGCTTTAGTAACCAAACTTCATAAGTACGTGAGTTGAGAGTTCGACAACCATGTTTCGGATCACGTGCCCGCATGATGGCTGTCTCATGCTTCTTCATTGGTAGGAAGACCCGACCAACACTTCAAATAGAAATGGTTGTATAGGCTTCTTAGACGTAAACTCACACATGGTCATTTTATGATTTTTTTTTGTATTTATGAAAGATTTAAGCTTCTATTCGTTTTATATAAGCACATAAACATTGTATAGGCAGAAATAGAACTACTACTTAAATATTAATTCTCACACCACATTGTAAATAACAGTTAATTTCGCAGAGTTTTTGTCACGCAGAATAATAGCGTTTGTACAATGCATATAGCAAACTATATTTTTAACTTGCTTAACTTATAAGAAACTACTGACATTGTTGAAGAAGTGCAAAGCATTATAAAATATGTGCCTTTCGTATAGGATTGCATATGTACACTGTGACTGATTTATTATATGAAGGTTCCAATCTCGAAGAATGACGTCATATAACGGAAATTCACAAATGATTTTCATATTCAATATACGTATTATGGTACCACATTCCACTAGGCGCATAGGAAGAAATGTAAAGGGGGGGGGGGGGAGGAAGCAGATAAGAAAGCAACAAAGATTCTACGAGACAATGGCAGTTCTGACAGTTATGTGGGAATAAACAAGACACTACAATGGGTAAATCAGGCAAGGGATGTACAAGAATAGAGTGGATTGAAAATGATAAAATACGAAGAGTTAAAAACATACTTGGCGGCTTCAATGGCGTTGTAGGGTGGTGATAAGAGAATTTAGAAGCCTTCCATTATACGCGATGAGGAAGAAGAGATAATGATAGCGCTGCACTTCGATATATTTATGTTATACAACACCGTGACACGAATTAAGAGTTAGGAATTTCAACATTCTTTGCTCTAACAAGGGATTGGTCCGGTTGGCCGTGTCGAAACCTCACCTGAAAATTTGCTCGTCTACAGAGCCCATCTAGTAATGGTTGTCTACAAAATTTCAGCTGCTGATACGCTGCGCAAGAGTGCGAAAAAAATTGCTCAAAATTGAAACGTACATTTAAAATTCGCGCCATCGCTCACACGTCTGACAGCAGTGCGCCTAGCAATGGCAAAATATTCACGGGTATCAGAAACAGTACGAGAGGGACTGGTTCTGCAAGGCAAAAAATAAAAAAATGCTGCAAATTGTCCAAAACGCGCACAAAACCAAAAAAATTTCCCATTCAAATTCTTTTGTGCGCTTTTCAGACAATTTACAGCATTTTTGATTTTTGGAAAATTTTGAAAAATTTCAATATTTTTCCTAAACCCTCCCCGAGAGATGCCTGCCAAACTCGGTGAATGCCTCACCCTGTCTCTGCCGGACTTGGCCTCTGTCTCACCCGGTTGCTGCCTGCCTCGGTGTCTGCACTAACCGGCCTCTGCAGACACCGAGAATGGCAGCAACCGCGTGAGGTAGAGGTCGCGTACGGTAGACAGAGGGTAGCCATGTGAATGTGTTTCCATAGATATATGAGAATCTAAAATCCTATTTATATGTCTTCTGGGTGGTAACAAGAGGTGTTTGATTTTAACCAACAATTCAACTCATAATCACATAATATATTAACCATAGATAATACTTATGCTTTTGAAAGCTCACCATTTTCCAAATTTCAATGAATTACCTGTTCAGTTCCTGTGTTCACTATGACATAAACTTTAGTTTCATTACACATTAAAACATGCAAAACAAACTTAATGACATTGAGTGTACCAAATGGTATAACAAATGCTGTTCTGATGACATCAGTAATTATTGTGTTAAATTTTGTATAAACTAATTTAAGAATTTTATTAGGATAAAGTGAAAGTGAAATTCTTATGCAGAGTTGGTACCTTTAGTGCAAAATATTATAAGCAATGACTGCAATTAGCTCTAATGCGGGAGAATTAAAAATACAACCAACCAGTAAGACTTTTCAATCACTGAAACCATGTAAGTACTTCACTATGTGTATGCACAATCTTCAAAATCACTGTGGCAGTTTCCTAATCTTACTTTTATGGTATTAGATCCTTTTTTCCAAGAAATATAACATGACAATTGAAAATGTAATTTAACACCAAAACACACCAAATGAAGAAGAGTTTATGCACAGTCACATCCAGACTAATTTTGTGTCTGAAAATATTGCTAAAAGAGACAGTATACATGGATTCTTAAAAAATTCCAGAAACCTTACTGGCAATGGTCTAATGGGCATTCACATGAGTACTTTGCATGCCATAATGTGGAATTCATGTCAAATGTATTATCACAGTAAACTGATTTGTCCATTTCAAATAGCTGGAAAATGTGAAAACAAGTTCTTATCTTAGTTTTTCATAATTTAAAATGCACACTCCTTCCTTAATTCCCCTGCTAAAATTTATTCGCCAATAATATCGCATCATCAGAAACTACATATCCTATTGAATTCCATGGTTTATCTTCATGGTCAAGGAATATCATAAAGCAATTATTTCATATAACCAACACCATGGAGCAGGACATTGTTTCAGAAGCCGATAATTGCTTATCTAGTCAATGCACAGGTCTATTATGGAACATTCTAGTTCATTCTAGCATCCATAATAGCAGTCTGTGCCCAACCTGTTTATCTATTACACATTTTAATTTCTCAATCCTGTGACACAACTAAATTAAAGATTGGTCAAGAAACAAAAACATTCCATTGAGTGTTTCAGAGCTCATATACAGACATTTTACCTATATAAACTTCAAGACACAGCTTCTATTAAAGATGGCTGTCTTCTGGGTCTGAGAGATCATTGCTGCCGCCATCATCAGGGAGATGCATCATCGTGCTAATGAAGGAATCAAGGGCCTCTGAAACGTTGGTAAACTTCTACCAGACTACATGGCTCAACAACCTAGAAGACAGACATCTTCAGACTCACCACAGTGAAAATCTCTAATCCTACATAGCCCAAGGAGTTATTTGCTGAGGGAATCCATAGGCTGATGTCAATTGGATGCCTCCCATGGAATGGGGACCATTTCTAAACCATCATCCACAGCAACCCCCAAATGAGTCTCATTTGTGAAATGACATTTTATTGTTTCTTGGAATAAATAAACTTTATCAAGTCCGGCCTGTGACGATGTGACCACCACTGTCAAGCAGTTATTATTAACATGTGTCATAGCAACTCAAAACAGAAGCCACAAAATCCGCCAAACTTGTTTGCACGCACTGACTTTTTACAGACATAAGGATCAATCATATTTGTGATAAAAAGTGCCTCAGTTTCATTCAGGAGCACATGCCTCTGCAAGACAGGAGCACCAATCAGTTGTGTAGCAGCACAGGAAATTTCATTAGCAAAACAATGGAGAGATATTTTACTATCCACTCCACAATTAATAATTACAAAAAATGGAATAGAAAATTCAGATTTTCGTATATCAGACCACACCAAAGGATGCTCACAGTTAACTGTGAGGTGTTAACAGTCCATGGCACATGACATGCACACAACACTGTCCCTAGAACAGGTAGCAGGCCTTGGGTCAAGTAACACATGCAAAAAGTGTGTAGTAACATAGGGTAAAACGCCCTATTATTGGCACCCCTCCAGTTATTGGCACTCTGTTATTGAGACTGCGATATTAAGCAATGTAAGCAGTTGGCAACTCTATTTCACACACATCTGGAACGAGCAGCTTTTGCTTAGTATGAGTCAGTTGTTTCAGCCACGAGTCGTAATTTGTTTAATGACTGTCTTCCAGAACGTCAAGTGTTGCACATATTGTTGGGGTTTTGAACAATTTCTTAGCAGTAAGTTAAGGACATTAATTCAGTTGATTGTTGTTTATTAATATACCTATTAACTTACATTGTTTATGCATATATATTCAATATGTGCATACTCTTGTGAGTGCTATAATGAAATATGAAACTCCTAACCTCAATCAACACAATTTTTAAGGCATGCCAATTACTGGCATTGAAAAAATTGTAATTTCTTTTAATGGCATGAAGTGCCAATAAATGGGATTTTTAATATTGAGGTTTGTGTGTTTGGAATTAACACAAAAATGACCCAAATGTTATGTTAGCATAACAAAATTGTATTACTTATAAACAAGTGTAGCCAATTATTGGCATAGGTGCCAATAACTGAACAAATGTGTGCCAATTACTGGCACCAATTTCAACTTTCATCTCCAAGTAGATTTTCTGACTCTTGATTTTATCCTAGTTATTAGACATCAGTTGTATCCAAGATGGGGCCTCGTCTTGATGCAGCCATTCAGGCAGTGAAGAAAGGCATGGCTTTTAAGACAGCAGCAAAATTACATGGTGTTCTGAGGTCAACACTGCAGTTTCGTTGCAGTAAAATTTTTTCCAAAACTGCACATGGGCCAGCTCCTATACTAAGTGAAGAGGAAGAAAACACTCTTGTTCAGTGTATAGTAACAACAGCTTTAGCCGTAGGCTAAAGCGTTATAACAATTCCATAATACATAATTATTAGTCATTATTATTATTAAGAGGTTATCATTAGGTTATTATTTATAAAAAATAATACATATTTTTGAAATTATACATTTATGCCGATGGAAATACTGAAAGGAATTACTCTTTTAAAAGCTTTTTCATTCATTCCTTTTCTAGGTGGATTTTTGAATGTGCTTGCAAGGGATTTCCACAACGAAAGGAGGACATTCAGTTAAGTGTTAAGGAATTTCTCCAGCAAAATGATCGCCCAAATCCATTTAAAGAAAATATGCCTGGAAATAAGTGATACCACAGGTTCTTCGCTGACATCTTGAAATTGCCAGCAGGACTCCAGGAGTCACCGTTGCTAGTGCTTGTGTAAACGAAGGAAATATACAAGGATGGTTTGAGTCAGACGAGGATATTCTCAAAGAAGAGAACATCTTTGATGTCCTGTCTGATCCTGAAAGGGTGTTCAATGGTGATGAAACAAACTTCATGTTATGACCAAAAAATACCTTGTGCTTGCACCCACGGGTTCTAAGAATGTGTGTGAAGTAGAACATAGTCAGGCAAAGGAAACTCTTACTGTAATGTGTACTTTTTCAGCCTCTGGGAAGACATGTCCCCCTATGATTATATATCCTCTTCAAAGGATTCTACAGGAAACCATCCGCAGAGTTCCAGAAAAGTGGGGTGTTAGGCAAAGCAACAATGAATGGATGAAGTCAGAAGTTTTTTCAAGTTTATTGGGAATGTATTTTATCCTTATCTTGTGGAAAACAACATTCCATTGCCAGTTGTATTGTTCGTAGATGGCCACAAAACCCACCTAACCTACCATCTCAGTGTGCTGTGCAAGGAACTGCACATATTTCTCATTGCTCTCTATCCAAACTCTACAAGAATTCTGCAGCCAGCCAATGTGGCAGCCTTCAGGCTTGTAAAGTGCAAAAATTAAATATTCAAGCAACAGATATCAAAAGAGAAAGATGTAGTCCTCTCTTGGCGAACACAAAATCCAAACAAGGCTGTTACAAAAGAGGATTTTGCTCCTATTCTTGAAGACATGTTTAAAAATATTGACTTGGAGCGCTCAGATAAGAATGGTTTCAGGGCAACAGGTCTCTATCCATGGAATGCCAATGCTGTGGATTTCTCAAAGTGTATTGTGAAGAATGGTCCAAAAGTCAATGTCAACATCCCATCATTGAGGATACAACCACTTCCATATGATGATTTCTGTGGAATTGTGGGAGAAAGGCGAATTGAAAAATTAAAAACATAAAACAAATAGTAGAAGGCAAAGAACATTGGGAGGATTTCTTTTTTCTCTACAGACTGTGGGAGTATTATCAACAGAGACAAGAAGAAATGAACAAACAAGGCAATGGCTTGGATGAGGACGCACAAATTAGAAACAGACAACCAGACTCTAAAGATTTAAGTACAGATAATCCTGTAGAAAATAAAGAGATTCAATCTCAAGTTCGCTCTCTACCCGATGAAAGTAATGCAGAGCAAAAAGTGAATTCAAGAGGTAATGTAATACCTACTAAGGCGAATCCCATAAATGAAATTCTTGTATGGCTTGAAATGCCAAAAAAAAGGGGGGGGGGAGGAACACTGAAAGAATTCCATTTGTATTGACCTCAGGAAAGTGGAAAGAAGTCCATGACAAGAAAGAAAAACTGAAAGAAGAAGCCCTGAAAGAGAAAGATAAAAGAAAGGTTGAAAGAGAAAAAACTCCTGAAACAAGCATCTCAGAAATCTAGAATAGAAAATTCTAGTAAAAGACCTGCTGAAAGTATGTTAGGTAAATATCCAAAGGTAGCAAAGAATACAATCATGTAATTACCGTCAATGCACCTTTGGATATATTTATCACTTTTCATAGTCTATACATTAATATTATATATGACCATATGTTGGTGATAAAATATTCATTTACGTATCACAGCATGTTTTGGCTTTGGTTAGCCATCATCAGGTGTACAGCATATGAACCTCTAAAATTCTTACAAATAAAATGTCTCTGGCTATTATTAAAAAAATTGTTTGAATGCAGAAACTGTACAAAGTTGTATCACCAAACATGCATCCAAAAGAAAAACCAAATCCACATTCCAAATGACTCTGATGATGACCTTTTCATGTGTCATTTCTGTTTTGCAGTTGAAGATGACACTGATGAATATGATACATGAATTTTTAAAGGTTAAATTTTTATCACAAAAATGTACTTAGTTTTAACTCCGTTCAAGTAGACTTACACTTCATAAGCTTGAAATAACCTTTTCCTGATATTTAAAACTTCTCTACTTATTATTATTATAATTATCATTATTTGTAATTAATAATAACTAAATTGTATTAGCTCTAAGTTCCTCAAATGTTACAAAGAACACTTAACATCAGTTACTTTTGTTAAAACCTAAGTTTCAAGTACAATTTTCCGCAGTGCCAATACCTGGAATTTTTATTGCCAATAAATGGGGAAAGTGTGCCAATAACTGAGATTTTCTTACATTTTATTCACAACTTTTTTCCAGCCAGCTGCACTCTGTTACTGGCAGAATATATTGTTTCACTGCTCATTAAACTCTAGTAATTTTAACCAAAAGTTCAATTAAAAAACTAATGGACAAAATTATGTTTTCTCAATCAATGTGCTTAAAGTGCCAATAACTGGGTGGTTTACCCTACTTAGGTTAAACAAATCTTTGTAAATGTAAAATTTTGTAAAAATGTTTTTCATTCTCTAATAATCTACTTTAAATGTTTCAATCTATAAACCTACCCAAAATAAATGTTTCAGCATTTAATACTTCAATGTTAATGTCTCTCAAACAAGACACAGCAACAATAATTACAAATTAATGTAGTATCTGTTATAAGGCTTCAAGGTTCAACCCAAATGCAACAGTCAAATAATCAAAACTATTTCTAAATGTGATAATCTGTACAATCTTCAGACTATAAAATATCCAAAATGATGATAAATGGTATTACCGATGTTGCTCTACATATCTACCACAAAATGTTCCTAAAACGATTTTTATGCTACATAAAACAAATATTAAATATTACATTTAATTTGAAGACACACAAACTATGGCAACATTAAACTGAAGGTCTAAGGTAATCAACAGTCTATACATACTGTCATGGAAATGTTCACAGCATGGGAAGTTCAATCTATGAACACACAGCATCTAATTGTTGTGATTTTCATATCCTATTTACATTAGAAACTAGATAAAAAAATTCAGGGTATCACCACAAGACACACCAGACAGTGGTAGTTCTGTTACATAATATGATATGAAACTAAAGTCACAGATGTTTCTGGGATATTATTTACCCCTAAACAGGACACTGGTACAACTCCTGCACTTCACGGTAGGCTAGGGCACATACCGGATGTGACAAGATCACAAGAACTGTCCAGTGTCCTAACATCTGTGACTTGTATTCCTCAGGTATGGTGTTTCTTTCTGTGTGACATCATCGTTGAGCGAGACACGAAGGCTTTCTCACAGATGTCACAAGAGTAGGGACGCTCACCAGTATGCAGTCTCTTATGTATAGTAAGTGGTGAGAATTGAGTAAAGCTCTGTCCACAGATCTCACAACGATATGGACGTTCACCAGTATGACTGCGCCTGTGGCAGCGCAAGGCATCACGTCTGGCAAATGCTTTACCACACCATTCACACACAAAACTTTTCTCTCCAGTATGCATGGTGGAGTGGATACGCAAGTCAACACGTGTCAGGAAGCCCTTGCCACACACCTCACACATGAAGGGCTTCTCCCCGGTGTGAATACGCAGGTGTGTGGCCAGATATGACTTGCTTACAAACATCTTGTTGCATACTGTGCAGGGGAACTGTTTATTGTCTGTCCCTGAGTGAACTCGCTGGTGTGACTTACACAAACCCTTTGTAATAAAACGCCGTCCACAGGTCTCGCACAGGTATGGCTTCACCCCTAGATGTCGGTTCTGATGATCCAGCAGAGACTGTTTAGTCTTGAAGTTACGCCCACATGTTGTGCATGGGTATGGTTTCAGATCACTGTGAACACGCTGGTGAACAATGAGATAGGATTTGCACTGAAAACCTTTTCCACAAGTGTTACAAGTATATTCATATTGACCTGTATGCTTGGCCTCATGCTGTGCCAACCCGATTTTAGATCTGAATGCCTTTGTACACGTTGAACATTTGAAAGGTTTCTCCCCTGTGTGTTTCCGCATATGCTCTGTTAACTTGTAATTAGTTCGATACTGCTTCCCACACTCAGGGCACACTTTGGGTTCCCACTTCTTTCTCCGCATTACCCCCTTCTTTTCTTCAAGTATGATGGGCTTGTCAGACAACTTATGCTTGCGCAAGTGCATTTCCTTACAGTGAACTTTTAAAGCTTCCTCATTGGTGAACAATGCTCCACACACCTTACACTTGTTGCAGTGATCTTCATAGTGTAGTTGGAATTCTTCCCTCTTGGCGAACGCCTTGCCACAAATATGGCAAAAAAACCATGATGCCTGGTCAGGATATTCGGAGGCCTGCGAGCACGATAGCATGAGGAGTCCGTTTGCAGCTGGATTCATGAAATTTACACCGGCTTCAATCCCAGCACCATCTTCATTCTCTATCCTGCAATTTATTTACTAATTACATACCAGATAAACTGTAAGATACACACACTCAAAAATTGGAGTGTACTTTCTTGTTCTTAACTCTCACAGTTAACACATAATGGGGGGGACACTCATCTTTTAATGCAGGGCTCCAGAAATAAAACTTAAATTTACTAATCACTGATAAAACTCCACAATAGTTTATCCACAATAGTTTATCTAATTAACCATTATAATCTGTGCAGATCCAGTTGGTTATGTATTGCATTAGTACAGCACTAACTCATTAAACTCCGAGCTAAAGTCTAGCTGGCAGACCCATAATATAGGATTATAAATTTCCTATTTCTGTTCTGCACAACTTTGAGCTCTGTAAAGGAGAACTATAAAAGTGTGGTTGCCAACAGTCTCTACTGAATATTTCTGAAGCCTTGGTTTTAGAGATAAAGTCTGACACTTAACATTTGCTTCTGTATCCTGAAGGAATGTAGTGGCTAATTATGCTTCCCCTCTTATTTAATCTCCCTTATGTTCAAATATTTTTCTTACACCTTGCTATTATAATGCTGTTAATGCAAGTAGGTAATCACACTTCATAACTGTAAAAATAATGGATTAAACAATGGATAAAAACAATTAATTATTCCCAATCATTAGTAATGTAGAAAATAGACAAGGCATTGGGTTCAAAACTGAATGAATAATACTCAATCACTTTTGATATTTCAGTTGTGAGTTTAAGAGAAGTAAAAGGAAATCCAGTCTACATAAATAGTAACCTGTGGAATTTTGGCATGTTGAGGAGGATATTTGGGCCTACGAGAGAAGACGATGGGACATGGAGAAAACTGCATAATGATGAGCTTAAAAATCTGTACTCCTCCCCAATATTGTCAGGGTGATTAAGTCAAGAAGAATGAGATGGACAAGGCATGTAGCGTGCATGGATGGGACAAGAGGTATGCACCGGGTATTGGTTGGGAAGCCTGAGGAGAAGAGACCGCTGGGGAGATCTAGACGTAGATGGGAGGATAATCTCAGGCGGGATCTATGGGAGATAGGAGTTGAAGGAGACTGGATTTTGTTGGCCCAGGACAGGGTCTGGTGGAGGGCTTTGCCTAATTCGGTGATGAACCTTCGGGTTCGGTAAGCCATCTAGTTAGTTAGTTAGTTATATGATTTTGCCCGCCTGGCTGCTGATGGCATACTAACATGTACTTACTTTGTTTTCTGAATTTACTTCTAGCCCCACCTTTCTTTTGTGGTCCTCTTTATTGTATTTGTTTAGTATAATTACAGAATAAAATTTGTTTATATTTTAATATAGAGTGTAATTGTTTCTGTTACGAAATAATTGACACATTACGTCTCAAACACCTGCAATCTATGTTCCTCCTTGAGAGTGAGAGACCATGTTTCACACCCATAAAAAACAGGAAAAATTATTATTTGTATATTTTAATCTCTTGGTTCTTAGAAATCAGATTTGAAGACAAAATATTTTGAACTGAAAAGTAGCAGGCATTTCCAGAATTTAGTCTCCCCCTAATTTCCTCATAAATATCATTTTGGTTTGTTGTTGTTCCTAAATATTTGAACTTTGTCACACTTTCAAAGGTTTTATTAGCCACCCTAATATGATTTTTCCTGCCTGTCCGTTGAAGGGATACTAACATGTACTTAGTCTTTTCTGGATTTATTTCTAGGCAAAACTTTCTACTAGATTCTAGTAAAATTTCTGTGTTTCTCTTTATTGTATTTATATTGTCACCCAACAAATTAACATCACCAGCACATGGCAATAGCTTATGTGTCCCATTCAATTGCAAACCCTCCTTCCTATTTTTGACTTTCCTGATGGCATATTCTAAAAAAAAAAGTTAAAGAGCAATGGAGACAACGCATCTTCTTGTTTCAGACTGTTCTTGATGAGAAATGAGTCACCTATGAATTACCTATACAAATTTTGCTACAGGTTTCATTTAAGTACATTTTTATTAGACTCACTACCTTTTTTATGAGTCTGTATAGTGACTGGCTATGGACTGAATGGCTGAGGTTCGATCCCCCACAGGGGCAGAGTATTTTCACTCTAGCCTCTGCATCCAGACCAGTTCTGGAGCCCACCCATCCTCCTATCCAATGGGTACTAGGGTCCTTTCCCATGGTAAAATGCAGCCAGGGCATGATGCTGACCTCTCACCGCCATCTAGTGCCAAGGTCAAGAATGAATAGGAGCTATACGACCTCTCCCCCCAAGCGCCTACATGGCACATAGTGGGACAGCTTTACTTTACTTTTTTACTTTTACTAGATTCTTTGGTATACCGAATTCAATGAGAATATTGTATAACACTTTTCTCTTAACAGAGTTGTAGGCATTTTTAAAGTCCATTAACAACTGATGTACTCCCATTTTTTCTCTAGTATCTGACAAATTGTTGATGTTACGTCTGAACCCACACTGATAATCTCCAATAATTTCATTCACATATGGAGTTAATCTTGCACAGAAGAATGTTTGATAGAATTCTGTATGATGTTGATAGCAGCGAAATTCCTCGGTAATTACCACACTCAGTCTTGTCCTCCTCCTTATGAACAGGAATAATTAGGATTCTTTCCATTGTAGTGGCATCTCTTCCTTATCCCAAAATTAACTGAATGAGCTTATGGATCCCCATACACAACTTTCTGCCACCTGCTTTAATTAATTCTGCTGGAATTTGATCAATACGCGGAGATTTATAACTTTTCAACCGCTAGTTCAACTTCATTAAAACTAAGTTCTGGCACTAACAGTTCAGCTGTATGTATTTTAATCTGTCTGGAATCATCAGTCCCATAAAGACTTAACAGCTAGTTAAAGAAAATTTTCCACCCATTTTCTTAAAATAATTTATGACTGTACAGATCTCTGATATTTCTGTCTTTATTATTTGTTTCAAGATCAATAATTTTGCCTCTCAGATATTCCCTTTTTCTTATTCCTAAAGGTTCTTCTATCTTTATGTCTCATGTTACATAATTATTCATATTCGTTTTGTTTGGGTCCTGAAACCACTGAAATTTTGTTTGCTTCCTTTGATCTATTAATTTTGAACATTCTTCATCAAACCATGATTTATTTTGCTTTCTCCTGTAGTATCCTAGTTTCCCTTTGCTGAAATTTTGATACAGTGTATAACATTTTCCCACTCCCTCTGCTGATATCCACACTTTCACCATCTTTATCTGTCTCTAAAATTTGCAACCTGTTAGAAATTTCAACTTGATGTTGCTCCTTTACCTCTCCCTCATTTAATTTTTCTAAATCAGATCTTTCTGTGTTCATCTACTTACTGAAAGCATCTCCTTCACTTTTGCCACTACCAGATAATGGTCAGTGCCACAATCTGCTCCTTTGAGCGACCTCACATCAACTACAAATGTCTGCCTTGTATTATCTACTAAAACATGATCTATCTGATTGTGTGCTACCATATGGAGAAGTCCAAGTATTTTTATGAATATTATGAAGTGGAAATTTTGTACTCTTTACAATAAGATGTAGCAAAGTTAGTAAATGAACAGAAACCAAAATGTAGCTGCTTATTAGAATAGTAATTATTCTAACAGTGGTAAACTGCGTATATAATGATTCTAACAAGAATTTACTGGCATAGATAAATTAAACGTCAGGATGGAAGTGGTCCATGGGCCACCAGTTAGATATAAAGGCCTGCTGTGTTCTACTCCTCTGTATAATAAAACATGACAACATACTTTTCAAAGTGGCTTGTAGATGCTTCTGTCCCACCAGAACCAAGAACCACCACCGTGCTTTCATTTTCCAGGTGCCCATGAGGTTCAGCTAGCGCTGACAAGCTCCCATTGTGACTGTCTTCTGCACCTGTGTTATCATCACTGTCACTCTCGGATTCACTCTCTGAATCTGTCTCTGTGTCCGTGTCACTCTCTTCTCCCTCCGGCATACTGACAACAATATTACTGACATCTTCCACTTTGATCAAAACTTCAGGTTCACACTTTACGTTGTCATTAGACTTTATCTGTTCGACTTCTGCAGGGGCCGACTCAGTTACTGCACAATCTGAAGCATCCTGTGAAAACAGAAGCTGGAACTGAGTGATCTGAAAACTGAAAAATCTGGAAAGTCAAACAGTGACAGAGGGACATGGATACAGCCTCCTGCTTAAGTGTTCACTTTATCCACATCATACAAATAATATCGTCCCATTTGCTATCCAAAACACTAAAGATTTTGCCTATTGTCTTGTACGGTTATGAAACATGGTCTCTTACCTGGAAAGAAGAACGTATATTACAAGTCTTTGAAAACAAAACGCTCAGGAAGACATTTGGACCTAAGAAGGATGAAATAAGTGCAGAATTTAGATCACTGCATAAAGAGGAGTTGTGTGAATTGTACAAGCCACCTAGCATAGTAAGGATAGTGAAATATAGGAGGTTGTGATTGGCTGGACATGTTGCATGCATGTGGGGGGGGGGAAGGGGGGCATACAGAATTTTGGTGAGAAATTCTTCTGGAAAATGACCACTGGGCGCATCAAGAAGAAGACGGAAGGATAACATCAGGATGGATATTAGGGAGGTGAGCTGTGATGATGGTGAATGGATAGAGTTGGCTCAGGATCATGGCCAGTGGTTGACTTTGATGTTGTCAGTGTTGGGCCTTCAGGTTCTGCTACCAGGGAGCTAGTTATACAAATAATATGTAAAAACCAGTAATGTATGTGTGATGCTGTGCAAATATATTATAGATCTAAATCACATAATTTGTCAAGGTATGTTACAAATCAACTAAATCATTAAATGTGTTGCATGATAGAGATTGCAGTTTAATTTTCTTTAGTCATCAACAGCAGAATCCATGCAGCAGAGCCCTTCCTGACAAGCTAGCAGGATAAAACTGGCAATGATCAGAACTTGATGGTCGATGCTTCATTTTAATGGTCTGGAAAATGGTTTAACTGCAGAATTTGGGATAGCAAGGCATGTCATTAACTCATGAAACATCAAAGAGACACCAAAAGTGAATGTGTGGTGTGGCATGATAAAGGTTGTCACTAAACCTTGTTCTCTTCTAGAAGACACCGTGACAAGTCATTCATGCAAACTAACATTTACACTACTGAACAATCAGGTTGTTTAGTCTTTGTAATAAATACTCTTTCATATATCACTTTTTCTTTTATTTAATGACTTTGCTGCATACCATGCTCAAAAAAGAAGAAGAGCTGAATATGTAGATTGGTCATCACTACCCCAGAGAAAAGTTACTATGCAGCTTAGGTAGGCTGCATATATTCTGGTTGTCACTGAGACCATGTCGCAGTGAGTAGGCCAATCACTAACCAAGCACCTAGAGTATGGAAGGGAGAATGAGCGCCTGCCCTTTCTGGCATGCTAGAAAATAATCAGAGATCATGTTATAAAGATCACTTACTTCAACAGCAGGTGGAGGTGGAATCAGAGGCAGTTGTTGTTCAATTGTCTTTAACACATTTTCTAGATATGTCTCTGTCTTGACACTTTTCTCCCTGAACTCAAAGAGTAAATCCAGTTTGTACACACACTCCTCACACACCATTTTCGGAAGTTTATCTGTCAGAGCAACCTGCAGGAAACAAAATATTTACAGTAAGCTAAAACACCAACACTAATGACCTCAAAAGATAAATAACTAGAAGATGGCTGCCTTCTGGGTTGTTGCGCTGTGTAGTCTGGTAGAAGTTTACTAACGTTTCAGAGGTCCTTGCTGCCTCTATCATCAGGGCGATGAAACATCGGTAAACGTCTACCAGATTACATGGTACAACAACCCAGAAGACAGCCATCTTCAGACTCACCACCATGAAAACCTCAAATCCTACATATTCCAACAATCATCTCCCTTTCAAGTGTTTTGCGGAAATTTATTCCAACAATATGAACTACCCCATAAAGAAAACACAATCAACAGACATAATGTGTTCTTCACCTACACCAAAAGTTGACATGTCCCATTCAATTCAAAACTGCCCTGATTTTCTTAGACTTTCCTGATAGCATATTCTACGGTAAAATTTAAAAGCAGCGGTTTAACAATACAATATTGGATAAAATTTCAGGATTGAAAAGAGGGTATAAAATCCATCATATTGAAAAGAAAACACCCTAACTTAATTTAAGCAACATGCAAAAGAAAATGGAAAACTGGGGCCTTTGCAAGTCACATACAAATGCAACATCTTGTGTGGCTTAACGTGATGAAGATGAACATTTCATAAAATGACATCATACATTCTGTCTTAAGAAAAACAGAATGTGTGTAAATGGTATGCTAATCTTACAGTTCAACTATATCTTGTATTCAAGTTGCTTTAAAAATCAAACTCTACTGTATGGTAGAACTTTTCATTCAACATATCATACATGTGAGCTGGGTAGCTCAAACAATATAGTGAATAACTATTGGCTGGATAATCGGGGTTCAATCCCTGAAAGGGGCAGAGAATTTCCTTCTAGCCTCTGCATCCAGATCAGCTCTGGGGCCCACCCAGCCTCGTGCCCAATGAGTACCATGGGTCCTATCCCCAGAGGTAAAACATGGCCAGGGTATGCTGCTGACCACTCACCCCCACTTAATGTCAAGGTTGAGAATGAGTAGGCGCTATACCATCTCTCTCCTAAATGCCAACATAACACGTAACAGGATGGATTTACTTTATGTCATAAAAATAACTACTTTTTTTACCCATCTTATTTGAATTTTCGGAAACTTGAGTAACTCTTCTGCGTATTTTCTTCTTTATGTGCTGTACAGTTAATGTAGTCTTGTCACTACTGCCCATATAATCTGAATGGAGAATCCCAATACCATCCTTTTATATTATAATTTGAGAAATGATACGTATTTAAAAAATAAAGTTCAAGAAATTAAACATCAGAAATATTTGCACCTTGATGTCTCCAGTACTTTAATACGTCATCTATATATTGCTACCACGTTTCTACTTTTGAATTAAGCTACTACTAAAATATTTCTATGCTGCTGATAAACTTATTTTATTCAAAATAACTTCAAGCTAATACAGCAAATTACCAATCTGCTTACATTTAATTACGAATAACAACATGAATCATCCCCCTTTCTTATGTTTCGTTGTTTACCATTTATTAGTAGTAAAGTACGTACTAAAATTTGTCTTAGGATTATAACCTCTATTCGTGTTTGAAGACAATGTTTGTGAAAAAGTTTATGCAATTTACCTGAACAGGTAAACATGCTGTAATCTTCTTAAATATCTGTCTTGAATCTCCTTCACGTTCAAATATATGAAGCCCCATTAAGACACTTGTTTTTGAAGCACATAGGCGACACAAATAATCAAAGTCTGGTGAAGCTACAGTACCACTGGCCATAATTTCTGTCATGTTTAACAGAAAAGGGGAATCTGTATGGTAGTTATAACAGACTATTCTCTAAATTTATAATAACATTAGCTATTCACCCACACTACATAATTCAAAACTGTAGACACTGAAATAATGCCTAAGTAAACGAACGCATTTCACAGGGCAGTGTGCCCTCAAAACCTCGATTCTGTTCATGAAAAAGAAAACAAAATTGTACTTTCCACTGTTTAGTTTGGACAAAGTCGACAGAACAGACGCTACCCTCGCAATCCGCGAACATAACTCTGCATAATGCAGGAAGCACAGGCAAATTTTTGCATCATAGTTAGTGTTTTCACTGATGCACGAGTACTGGTTGAAGTTCAATCTTCAGAGAAAAACGTTTCATGTGTTTATGTTCCGCCACATTGAAATCACAGTTTAATGTAAAAATGAGATTAGCTACATAGGTAATCCATGTATAAGGTTATCTGTGTCTGAGAGTATGACTGAAAATGGGTGGACGGAGAATCGAGCTGCAGCTGAATAAAAATTTAGTCTTTGTGATAGCTGTAAATTTCAGCGATACAACTCAACGAATAGAATAAAATTTATTTGCATTCCATAGATCCTTCATAGGCCTAAGCCAAGGATGTTGAACATAAAGTGATGTCTGTTTTAAAAAGGTAAAAATATCAAATGATGGCTTATAAAGTAACCTCTAATTCTTGCCCAAAAGACATACTATGCTGTATATGTATACCTGTATTGCCCCAACAGGAGATTCCTTCTTCACGAAATTAATTTTTCATTAACTTCCTTCTTGTTCTACATAGACTGGTTACTTATAACTGAGATTAAGATAAATTGGTACCTTACTATTTAGAACATGGATATATGAATGATAAATGTATTGTTCAAATGAAGTTTTATAGAAGTTTCTTTTTTCACTGCATGAAATACTGCCACAACATGGGCCAGTATAGTGATCATTTTAACACACACTTTTAAATACAGTTTAATGTATAATGTATTTTGAAATTAAAACTGTAGATTACTTCTCGAGATGAAAATGATACAGGTGGTCAAAAAATCCAAGCCTTTCATGTGTTCATTTGCATGCTCAAATTGAGCCTGCCATTGGTCCCCAACCTAAGTCTGAAACAAAGTTACAATGCTTACGAGATTGGATTATATGGGAAAGGGTTGCCTATCAGAACCCTTGTTTTTGAAAAATAAAACTTTTCTACCAGGCACAAGCCATCTAAAGACTATCTTACAGCCATAAATGCATCTAGAAACCACATTAAACTTGCAGTACCAGTAACTGATCCAGGCAAAAACCTACAATCTTTCAATAGCACCAAAACAAATACCTTCCTAACCACCGATACAACCAAAAATTAGCGTGGATGGATAGATAAGGCAACTGACTTCAGATGATGGTCTCATTGTTGTCAAATGCCACATCCACGAATCAAGGTTTCAGTGCATCATTGAAACACCACTGGGCTGACCTCATAATTCTTACTGATAACTTTATGGCACTGTGGAAACAAATTACCTATAGACTTCAATGCTACTGTACTATTTTCTTTTTGAAAATTAGGAAGTCGATGTGAAACACCTGCTTGCCATTACACAAAAACTGTTTTAAAAATGTCATATGGGATGTGCCATGTAGCATGATAGTTAGTTTACCAACAATTCAGATGTGCTTACTGCTGACACATCATGGCAATGGTGTGACATGTAACATACTTGCCACCTAGAGAACCTAGAAATTGTTTTGTTTATAAAACTTCTGCAACTAACTGTGACTTGCAATAAAGCCTAAGACTCCAATTTCTTTCATAACCTCCAAGCCTTCAACTGGCACATTTCACCACATAACCTAACTGGTGCCTGTCAATTAAATATTAAGAAAGCTTTCCTTCCACATCCATGAATTTAACCTTCTGGTGACAGAAAGCCCACCAGTGACTGCTAATTTGTTGAAAAAGATTTTTTTTCCCCCTCCAGTCTCAAATGGTGAGCCACGGTGGTCTAGCGGTTAGAACGCTGGCCTTGTAATCCTGGGGTCTCGGGTTCGATTCCCGGCGGTGTCCGAATTTATAACTTGTGTTGGGCAAGGCCATGGTCTAGGCAACATGGAGTTTTCCTCCGGGCTTCCCCGGTTTCTCTGTGGCATCCCCACAATTACTCCATTTACACACAGAAGAAGGCAATGGCAAACCACTTCTGGATCATCTGCCAAGAACATATATGAACAGGTCCCAGTCTGAGAAAAGGATGGAAGGATCCTGTTCATATGGACCTGTCGTCAGACAGAACACAAAAAAAAAAAGTCTCAGATGGAGCTTTCTAGCCATACAACAATTCCCAACTTGTTCTGCTTTACATAAAAAGTATTCAGATTCTCTCAGAAGTAAATGATTGCACTTGCTTCGTTTCATTCACTTCCAACTGCTGTAATTATGGCTGACTAAACACTGAAAACAACAAGACATTTAAATCTGTCATGAAGGAACAGTTTGGCTGAGAATACTATATTAGCAAGGGCTGTCTTGAAGTGATCAATAACTACTGCCTTACTTCTGGCTGCAAGAAAATTAAAAGTTTTGAAGTCCAAGTTTCTTGCTTTGCCCAACACTATACAGCTTGCATAAACAATGTTGCTAAGTCTTAATGCTGCAACTTATGCACTTTGTGCTACTCAAATCAAAGCCTTAAATAACATATAAATATTTTAGAAAATGATCCACATAGTATTTGGACAAATACAGTATTTATGCACAAGCAGTTAGGATCATAACAATATTAATTAAGAAGGGGCCTGGTACACAACATACATGTTATTTCTCAAATGTCTTTTCATGCATAAATTTAATAAAAATGTACAGTAATAACAGTGGTCTAAAAAAACAGTTGCTTTTATCCACTTATACAATGAGAAATTACACAATCTTCTTATACACCACAGAAATTAATACACAGAAATTCTTCACATATAGCAAGAATGTTTAAAGTGGGTTCATCCCTAAACATTACACAAAATGTTAATCTCTTTTCTGAATTAAACTGCAATTTAAATATTCTCCATTATAAATGACTATGATATCTGTCACCACATAAACATGTTTAACACTGGGTACTATAAGAAATTCCTTCTCTATCATACTTACATTTACATGTCTTGTGTATCTGTCTTGATATAATTATAATTTGGAGCCTACAGCACAATCTGTTTATGCAAAAAACAAAGTTTGAAAACATATTGAATCTATGTTTGCCAACCTTTCCACCACTGCACACATACAGTCTAGTTTCAAACACTACAAACCTTCACTTAAGCCCTTCAATAAAATAACATCATGCCTCTAAGTCATAAACAAAAAGAACTTCACGGCAACGGAGGCCCGCTTCTTTAAAAGTCTGGCTGTGACTTCCTTCTCCTTGGGGTGCACAATTTAGGACCCGTTTAGGGAAATTAGTTGCAATCTCGAAGGTGTCTGGAGATGCAGGATGGCAAAATACATAATAGAAGACAGCCTGAAATGAGAGCATTTAGCAGCACTTGAACAGTTTATGGTTTTCATTAAAAGTTAAAACCAAACTTCTTCCACATTTCAATGTACCAGTGTTGTGCAACCTTTCTACACTCGTGGTACACTAAATATCATTGAAGAGTTATGGTGGCACACCAAACCCATTTTGCATATCGTGGAGGGGGAAGGAAGATGGTTTATGGCACTGATTGGCCATGACAACTTCTTACAAATTGACCCCAACCAAAAGTGTTCTATTTGATGTTTATAACTATCCAACTATATTATTATGCCATTTATTTTAAATATATTCATTATTTCAAGTAAATTGAAGTATAATATTTCCTACTGTTTGTCGAACATTTATTAACTATGTGTAAACATTTAAACTTAAAGATACTTATTTATATTTGTACATGTAGATTGCAGAAAAATACATAGAGTGGGAATAAAAGTATACATGTACATATGTTTTGCTGCAAAGTGGTTGTTTTTTTCCAGTTCCATTTAGTAGATTTTGATTGTCCTCAGTCTGCACGATCATAATAAAGAAAATGAAAACTGAGACAGCAGAAAACAAAATTAACAATTATTTATCTCATTATGGTTATAATTATAATATGAGGTGAAAACTTTGTGGCACACCAGTTGCCCTGGATGACAGGCTCAATTTCCAACAGGGGAAAAAGACTTTTCTACTGACCTCCATATCCAGACCAACCCCAAGGCCCACCCAGCTTCTTATCCAATATGTAACAGAGGCCCTTTTCCCCAGGAGGTAAAGCAGCCAATGCATGAAGCTGACCACTCACCTGCATCTAGTGCTGAGGTCAAGAAAGAGTAGAGTTATACCTCCACTATCCTGTATGTCTTTATGTGTGGTGCTTAACATAGTAACCTCTGATTTAAATGCCCCCCCCCCACACACACACACACAGACATATGGCTGACTGTCCTATCAAAACTGATGTAATAAAATGGTTCCACATCTATGAGTCAGCATCAGAAACAGGGGATATTGAAGTCAAGTGTTTCTACTGTTCATAAATGATATACTGTGACTACAACTCGTCATAAGATTTTAAAATCATGTAAGTGTATGTGACCTGAACTCATCAAAGGAGTTAAATGGGTTAATAAGTACCAGGAACAACTTTACCTTTACAACCTGATATATGGCCAATACTTAGAGGCTGGGATTCTATTGTAATTTATATGTATGTTTTAAAGCAGGTTGGGCCAACCCAAATGATCTTTCGGGCCACTTTGGAAATGCATCATAACTCCGCGGGCCACATATAAAATTATATATCCCCATATTAGATTTAGATACACTATAGACATTTTTTTGGAGTGAAAAATTGAAACATAATGAGTTATTATTATTGTGTTTACTATTATTCTTACATGTAAACATAGATAATATAATAATAATGATACTAAGCGTACATTGTAAAGAAATATATAGCACTAAAAATTAAATATAAATATATTTTGTAAAAGTGTGATGAATCTCGCGGGCCGGAAAAATGTTCAAGGTGGGCCACATGCGGGCCGCGGGTTGGCCACCCCTGTTTTAAAGAATGGATCCATCATGCAAAAAACCCAACACTTTCTGACCCTTAAATCTGACACAAGGTTATCTGCAAGTTTTTTTTAAATTTCTGCACAACAGCTGGCAACTGTCATGTGTCATGTAGCACCAGGAAGGAAGAGAGTTAAATCCCAGTAAGTATGTGAAGAGAAGATACATATCAAGATAGTGAACAGGCAGGCTGAGCTGAATTAGGAAGAATACTATAAATATGTTACATTGTATAACAGTGTACGTTAAACATCCCACACCTTGAATTAATCATTTATCTTATGTAACTTTATCCAAAAAAGCATATTGCTTTTGTTCAGTGTTGTGATTTATGATCATAAATAAAGTAATGAAGGTGAATCACCTATTCAGAACATTTTTAAAATATGAAAATTTTCTTAGGGATGAAATAACTCACTTCTATCCACTTCAGAGATTGTAGGTCAACACAGTTGTATGATATTAATCCGTAATTTCTGCTTCTGATATAGAAGTATCATGGACTTATCAACAGAAATGTCTTACATCTCACCATCATAATTGTAACAGTCAGTTTCATGTTCCATAAACACAAAATAATATGTATCATATCAGTGACCACAGCCATTAAAAAATAGAAAAACATAAATACAGAAAGATATAAGTACTGTGATGAATAAAGACAAAGAAGAGTAAAATAAATTTTCCACAGACAGTACATCAGTGAACCATCATCTAGCATGCAGCTCAAATTATCGCTCAGAACAAGTTAAAATGGGACAGTAATTCATAGCCACAAAGTTCCAACTGCTATGAGTTAATATAAAGTGGGCCAGTTACTTGTCTTACACGTCCTTCAACGTAATGAACTTTTCAGGCTTCCGTTACAACGTTTAAATATTTCCTTGCTATAGTATGGTGCAGTAAAAAAAGATTATCTAAAAACTTTCTTACCTAAACTAATCATTTATTCACTATAAAATGGCATGGTAAGAGCTATTACTTCAAATCATTAGGTAAATGTTTTGAAGAGTGCTATACAGTATGCCATAAGATGTTATAAGAGTCTATCCACAGCTATGCATCTGAGACCATAAAGGATGGAAAAACAAAACAAAGCCAGCTACAGCCTCTTGTATATTAATGGGAACAAATATTTCCTGATGAAAATCTTCTTAAATGCATTTACTGCACTTCTGCAGACAAGTAACCCAAACATGAAAACAAGGAAACCAACAACTCTGAATACTGAGCATGTGCTGCCATCTTTCAGGCTACTTTGCACTGAGCCATTCTCTACACAGACATACAAGTACAATTATTACAACATTTTGCTTAGACAATATCTACTGTCTGCTGATAAAAAATGTAAAAATTAAAATGGCCAGGCAAAATATTGTAATAATTCCAATATACCATTATAAAAAAAAATGACTACACAAGCACAGTTACCTCAAGGGAATGGCTCTGCAAGAAACGTCTTTCAAGACGCATTCCATCTGGAAGTTTGATAACAATATGAACAGCTTCTGGATGATCTGCTGGAGGTTCATCTGGAATATGCATCTGGTATTCAATCTTCTGCCTCTGTATTTCCTGGAACAATGAAATAATATTCACCTTCCAGCAACAGAGTACTGACGTCAAATGCAAAAGGTTTCAGTCCACTGATAAGGAAGAATGTGGACTATACTTGCTTGCTTTTCATGCATCTTCCACCTGATGCTATCCTTGGTTAACTGTTGACACTAAATTGAGACTGTTTTCAGAGACTGCTGCTTGGTTATTACTGCATAACAGGATGCAAAGCATCTGCTAATGGTTTCCTACAGATTTTTTAGAGCATGTAATGGGGTTATCATCTTAGTTTAACAGAGGAGAATCACTGACAACCTGAAAGAAATGCTGGTTACACAAATGTTTGTTTTATAGAAACTAATATCTAAATTACTATGTTTCAAATGTTAAAAGGCTGAAAATGAGAGATATTCAATGGCAGATAATTTCAAGGGTTATGGAAGGAAAAATTAAGTGTAACTAGCAGAAACTGAAAAGCATAACTAGTTTGTCTGTTACGCAGCATAATGAAACTAAGTATAAAAGTACTTTCCTAAAACAAAGCATAAAGAGCCAAGAAAAACCATTTTTCATACGGTTTACTGCAATTTCTTCAAATGTAGTAACTGCAAGTTTTGAGGTCAGTGGAAGTACTATTAGACATGGTAAACCATTTGGTGATGATGAATTTCTTAAGAAAGCATGGCTAGTATGTCTGCCAAAACTTTCTGAAGACTTCCAAAATCAGAATACAATTTTACATTGTATCAAAGACCTGCCCAGTAACTGAAACACAGTAAAGGACATAAAAAAAAGTAAAGCTGTCCCACTACATGCCATGTGGGAGCTTCAGAAAAGAGTATAGTCAGCGACTGTAATCTTGAGACTTGTTGGGCGAGGAAGTGGGGTGAAGGAGGAAGGATAGCATCTGCCTTTAACGCTTCAGACTTCCTGCATTCCTTGCAAGTCTCAAGATTACAGTCATGTACTGTAGTTATACCTCCTACTCATTCTTAACCTCGGCACTAGACAGAGGTGAGTGGTCAGTGACACCCCAGCTGAGCTTTACCACAAAGAAAGGACTCTGGTACCCATTGGACAGGAGGCTGTGATCATACAAAACTAAAGCATGTAGGACTTGAGGTTTTCACGGCAGTGAGTCTGAAGATTGCTGTCTTCTCGGTTGTTATGCCATATAGTCTCTGGTATATGTCCACCTACCAGACTGCATGGCACAACCCAGAAGACAGCCATCTTCAAAGCTAAAGTAGGGATTTTTTCTCAGCAACATATGGCATGTAGCCTTACAAATGTCTGCTATTCCTTTCCAACTTCACTGCAGGTAGTAGCTAAGGAAACATGATACAGTGTTAGAATAAGTTGATAAAATTTCTATCCTATAAATAACAGAAACTGAGATGAGGAAAATATGATTCAATTTTGGCAGTGACAGCTGATCCATCACTTTTGTGTCCTTTGTTTGAATTTCATAACACTCTGACAGCAAAACCAAAAGATCAATAATGGCACTGTCGCTTACACAGTCCTACTCAAGTTCCATCAACTTCAAAAATCCTGCAACATAAGGTCCAACTAAACATTAATATCGTAATTCCTCTTTAGTCTTCCAAGTGGACTAGTCCAAGAAGTTTCCCCACCATATTTCTAAATCCCTAGTCTCCACTATCCTAGCTTCATGCCAAGGCTGTTATGACCTTCTAAAAATAAACCAGTAAACTCCTGCTTTAAGTTAACACGACAGATAATGTGAAACATTTTTTATATCTGCTCTTGAACTATACACAACATCTGCTTGCTCAGGGCCATATGCAAACAAACCTCTCTGCGACACTGTTCTTCCAACTCTCTTTCCTTCTGCTGTCTTGCTTCCCCCTCACGTCTTTCCTTTTCTTCACATCGCTGACGCTCTTTCTCCTGATCGGCTCGCAAAGACTCAAGGTATGCTTGATCTTGCTGCTGCCTCAGTGTTTGATTAAAGCTGCGTTCAACCCTAAGCAACACATGGAAAAAGTAGGAGTCACACAAGAAACAGTCTCTATCCTTAAGGACAGTCATCTATTCTACTAAACAGCAAATTTCTTCCTCCCAGCATTTGGTAATAAAACAAACTTTGCTTAGAATGACCCTTCATTTACTGAAAATTCTGTTGCACAATGGTTTTGTTAAATATAAAAATATTACAAACTGTCATTGGAGAGCTATATGAAATTACAAGAGATACAAAATAATATTTAGATGTATTTTCATAATTTGGCACTTTTCAGAAAAAGATATGGGAGTATGGGAAGGAAATGACAATGTCTTTCAATCATGTACAGAAAGCATAAGACACAGAGGAAAAATGTGCTCTAACCTGCAAAGATTGAAGAATTAAATAAATATATGAAACAAAGCAGTGTGAATATTTACTCACAAGAGCCACCACTGTGCCCTATCCTAAGCCAGGTAAAACCAATCAACACCTCACACCCTATTCTGTAAGACATACCAGTATTTTAACAATGTTTACCCATCCATTCCTAAGTCTCCCAACTGGGCTTCTTCCATCAGGTTTCCTGACTAAAATTTTGCATGCATTCCTCATCTCGCCCATGTCTATATCTAATCGTCCTTGATTTGATCAACCTGATATTTGGCAAAAAGCATAAATTATGAAACTTGACATGCAATTTTCTCTATCCAGTCACTTCATCCCTCTTACGTCCAAGAATAATCCTCAGCACAGTTTTCAGACTCCCTCAAACCATGTCATTCCCTTAGGGTAAGAGACAAAGTTCCATAACCATACAAATCAAAAATCAAAATTACGGTTCTGTATACTTCATCTTTACATTTATGGATACAAGACAGAAAGACAAAAGATTCTGAACTGGACAATAGTAAGCATTCTCCAAACTTAATCTACTCTTAACTTCTTTGTAAATGTAATTTTGATTTTTTATGGTTGTTCCTAGATGTTTTAACTTTGCCAGAATTTCAAAGGACTAATTAGCTATCTCCATATTATGGCTGTGGCTTCCATTCTGATGAGACATGAACATACAAAGTCTTCTTGACTGATCAGCCAAATAATAACTGAGTTCTGTCTCCACATCTGTCTTCTGGGGATAATGTATGATAGTTAACTAAATTCTCACACGGATATCACCTGAAAAGGCTTCATTCCATTCAGTTTACATTGAAGTTTAAATTCTTATATGAAAACTATGAAAACATGCTTTATTTTCTTTTAGTTTACTTATAGATCAATTGCCTTATTAGTGTCTAAAAGTGAAGAAAGACAGGAATTAAAATAAATATGCTTCACAGCATAATACACAATCCTCATAGTTATCTGCATGTCAAAAAGCACCAACATAAGTCTGAAAGATGTGTTAACATAGAAAGGGAGCAATTTAATTGAGAAAAGTTAGCAAACAAATGAGTACCTTTCAGCCCTTGCAGCAATCAGGGCTACCTCATTCTCTGACACAATTGTCTGAAGGCGAGTGATGAGTGCATTTGGTTCAGCTGGGCCTTCCAACCTGACACAAGAAAATGAGATCACAAATGTAAAACAAAGTGGCAGTCACATTAACACTACTCACATCTCACGGTACTTTCCGTAACTTTAAAACTGCTAGTTGTAAGCCTCACAGAACAAATCTGTGGTGTTATGGAAAAGAGGCTCAAGTTCAGGAGAAGAAAGAACTTCAAACACCCATGCATGAATGTATTTCATTAGGTAACTGAATGGTAAGTACTGTGCTTTATGTCATAACTTGGTTTTCAGCTGACACAAATAGTTGTAAAAAGGAAACAGAATTTTTAATACTGTATTCTGCAGGAAGAAGGGTTAAAACAAATGAGTTCACCTTATTTATCTGTTCATGACATAAAAAGGCAAAGACCCATGTAACAATAATAACACAGAAGGAGATGAGCTGTCATGCTCAAACCACTTTACTGCTATGGAAAAAGCTTTCAACACAAGAGCCCTAAAGATGGTTTGGATGTGGTAAAAAAAAAAGGAAAATCTTCTCCTGTTGGTAACAAACCCCAGCTGAGAGGACCATAACCTGTCTCAGATATCCCTGCTCACACTTACCCAGTCTTATCACAACGAAACTGAAAACCACACACACACCCCAAGACATGCCCACACACTCTTATTAGTCCTCTGAAACATTGGTGGATATCTACCAGACTACACAGTGCAACAACCTAGAAGACAGCAATCTTCAGACTCACCGCCATGAAAACGTCAAATCCTACATAAGAACACATTTTCACTCACCTTCCAACAACAGTCATTCTTCCATCATGAAGAACTACAACTGCAAGGAAAGGGTATCCATTTTCACGCAATGCTTGTGAAACGCGATAACCCTCAGATGTTGTAACTGAGCAAGCCCAGAACAGCATGTTGGTATTTATATAGTTTATCACTTCTGGGTGTGGTAAAGTGCATCTGTAAAATGTAGTATCTTTATTTGTTTCACATATAATAAGTATTCATATAGTTTTTCTAGTTTCATAAATCCATCTTTAAGGCATGCTGTATTGTACATATCTAAGTTACTTCATAGAACAGAATTGTTCTTAAGAAGCTAAGGGTCCTCAGAGTGGTCAAGGAATTACCAACCTTCCATGAAACTCAAAGTTCATAACCATGTTCACAAGTGCCTGCCAATGAACCATGTCCTGAAGTGTACGAATCATCCACATCACATATTATTTCTACAAAAAGCATACTCCTATCCATGTCTTGGTCTTCCAAGTAGTTTCTTCCCTTCAGGTCTATAACTAAAATTTTGTTTGCATTTCACATCTCTCCCATGTGTACTATAGGCCCTACCCAACCCATCCTCCCTCACATATTTCATGGAAAGTATAAATTATTAAGCTTGTCATTTATATCATTCCAATGCTATCAGATACAATACAAAATTATTCATACAAAACATTAGCAAACATACCCATTCTTTGTCCAAGTTTTTCTCAACATAAACTATACTGAAGTAATTAAATCACGTACTTATTATTGCCACAGACTCACATACAAGTCACTATAGTGTCAATGCCTTTTACTGTCTTAACAGGTAAGCATTATGACTGTAAATAACATACATGAATTTGGTTATTACATCCATGCTTTTTGAAGTTGAGCAACATGGGAGATGAAAATGATGATTCTTGTGACTACTTCAGACCCTTTACAACCAAGCTAACATAACAAGCTGCAGTAAAAATCTGCAATTACGATGCAATTTAAGATCTATCAGAATTCAGAAATTCCAGTGGCACTGAAAGCAATGGCAAATTTGTAAATGAAAGTATTATTCTAAATCATGGCCACTGTACAAACTTTGGAAAAAAGAACAATTATTAAACAACTTTTGACTTTGTTACTCAACACCTGTTGTCTCCATACTCTACTATAACAATGATACCCACATCACCTAAGGCAACAAATCATCTGCAGCAGTCAAATGCAAAGAAAAGAAAAAGAGAAGACTGTGAGGAAGTACTGCAAAGTATGCTATGAAACATGACAAAGAGAAGATGTTACTTATAACTGCACATAATGCCCTGGAAATTCTGGGCTTTAGTTGGAACCAACTTTTGGACAGCTTCATGAATGAATGTATTTTTCATTGTGGCTACACTTTTCAGTGACATTTAAAGGTAATTTTTATTTTAATGCATGGCATAGTACAACTTCAACAATGAATGAGTACTTTAATTAGACAGAACTTACTGCTTGCCAACAATGGAAACTAACTTTGTTATTTTACAAAATTAAATAGTATTCTAAAACCTCATAAAATCACTGCACATGTGCACTGACCAGCATGCAGTATGAATCACTGCTTATCAGCACCAATGAGATCATGAGACATTTTAAAGAAAATTAAAATACAGTCACCCAGTCACCCACTTCTTTAAGGCAGCAGTTAATGTGTTAAAAAATGTTGCTCCCTCCCACTATACAACCATTCCCGATCTCATACTATACAGCTCTATCATTCTATTAATATGAAGCTCAATAGTTTGTTCGGTCATAACCTGAGAAGACACACACATCATTCATATTACCATCCATCCACTAAGAAATAAATACAAAATGCAAAAACCACCTGCAAAATTTGGCAGTGTCTTCATGTTCCTCACAGTGCAAATACACTAGAAGGAAGCGAAGCTCCTGTTTAGCATCGTTAAGTGCCTGGCTGTATGTTCCCTGGTAGAACACTGGATGATCAGGTCCATATCGTTCTTCATACAGATGGATGAAAGAAAGTACATCGCTTACAGGATCAATAACATCTGCAAAGAATCAACAACATTTTGTAGCCAGAGGACTGCCTGCAGTGTGGGACATCTTCTGTACACTACAGCATGGGAACCATTTCAGTTTTAGAGTCATCTACACTGAGCCATGGCAGAAAGAACTAATCAACTGCCTGCTAATATTCACAGTTACAAACAAAACTCTTTCCTGAGTGTAACAGGAAAGAGTTTTGTTTGTATTGATACTCACACACACAGCCCAAACAAGCAATAATGGCACTGCAATAACCACACATGATGACAGCAGCCATACTGGTAGGTAATACCCAAATAAATTAACATTAAATACCAATGGCTATCAATTTCAGATACAAAATATATGTTTTCTGAGTAATCATCAGTACTTTGAGGTTTATGATTATAGTGTGGATGATTACCCCATTTTTTTACTTACATCTTCTTGGGTCAGGCTGCACTAGCCTGAATGCAAACTGTAATAATCTGGTAACTGTGCTGTAGCAGAGCTGTAAGACTAGAGACACAACATATCTGAAAAGCCCTCGAATGCCACGAGCATTGCTCCCATGAGGGGGAGAAAAGAACACATGCTGAGCTGAATGATCATTCACTACTGCAGGTATATCAGTGTCTGAAACAAACACAGATGGACGTCCTTCACGCATGTTCAGCTGGTCCTGGACAGACACCTCCAAATCCCACGCATGTCTTTGCAGTACATCTCTGCATACTGAGATATCTTCAATACCCGTCAAATCCTGCACATAACAACCACCACAAGTAACAAATTTATTAGGCACTTCCTCTTTTTACATTATTAGTTTTCTCAATGACATTTTTTCAACTTCACATGTTAAATAGTGTCATACATGTGGATTCAAGGCTCCAGGAACACTTTCCTATTCACCACAGTGAATTAACAGAAACTTATATATGTCTGAGCCATACTGTGACATTATGCATCAGTGAATTTTCTGAAGTGGCTAGGAGATTACAGTTACATGTACAAAGCTCTGAATCAATGATTAAAGATTAAACTGTAAAAGATATGAATGCAAACAGTTTTGAGACTATTTAAGGTTTTATCCCAGCATCTGTATGGAGAAACTGAGGAAAATGATGAAACCTTTGGATAAGAATCAAATACAGGACCTCCCAAATAAAAATGAGTTCTATCCACAATGTTCTGGAGGAAGCTTGTTTTCATAAACTATAACAGAGACGGGTAATTAAACCCAACTTGTCACTGTTATCAGTGCGAGTGTGAAATCTTTACACAGCTGCTTACTTCTTAAAATTACATGTACAATCCTGTTACCAGCCTATTAACTGAAATCTGAGGTTCTGAATGTGTGATAATATGGACTAGAGCTATGTCATGAGTCACAGACTTGAAGACCACAATCCACAGCATTATTACTCTTATGTGGGGTTTCATTTAACAAACATTCCAGCTGTATACATCACAATACATGAATGAGGAACTGTTTGAAAGGCATGTGATGAAGTTTGGTTGGGTTGTCTTATTACTGGGCTTGTGGCTGTTATACTTAATAATGTTTCCAAATTGCAGACACTTTATAATGCACCTGCTGATGACAATTTTATTTTAATAAAAAACTAATTTATAAATTAATTCCTGTCACATAATGCAAATTTAATGTCTTATATCTATTTGATATATCAAAGGATACACAAATCTGTAAAACTGAATGCAAAGACATAAACATTATATTATTGTCTATCTATACACCAACATCAAACTGCAATGCAGCAGACCTTCAGAAGTTGTCAGTGTCTCAGCTACCAAATTTCCCTTCTTTTATCGGAACACAAGGTTCGTTACCTTGTTCACTACAACCAGCAATAGGATCCTATTCTGAAAAAGGTGAATCCAGTCCATACCCTCACACACTACTTCTATAAGATCTATTTTCATATCATTCTTTCACTTAGGCCCTGGTATTCCAACTGATCTCTTCCCATTATGTTTTCCAAGTAAAAGTTTGTATAAATCACATCTTTCCATCTCATTCTCTTGAATCATCCTAATAATATCTGGTGAAGAATAAAAATTATGATGCTGATCATTATACAACTTTCTCCAACTTGATATTACTTCCCTCCTCTCCAAATATTCTCCTCAGCACAATGTTTTCAAATGCTTTCAATCTATGGGCTTCCATTATGGCAAGAGACAAAGTCCCAATATTCATAAAAAAACAACAGGTAAAAAGATATTGGTTTTATACATTATAATTTTTATGTCTTTGGCTACAAAAAACTAAGATAAAATATTCCGAAGTGGATGACATTAAGTATTCCCCAGACATAACTTTTCTTTTGTGGGCTTAAATATGATACTGAGATTCCCAGCGATTTTAAATTTTTCACATGTTCAAAGAATATATTTCCTGTTTTTATATTACAAAAGGGCATAACAAATTCCTTTTCTGGACTGGCAGCCCAGCCCAAAATTATAGGCACCAGGCAATATTTTGCTCTCAGATGTTTATATTTTAATGACCAACAAGAATAATTCAAAATGCCACCAAAGAACAGGACAAACTACCATCTTTTAATGTATCTATATTGTCAGGGTGATTAAGTCAAGAAGAATGAGATGGGCGGGGCATGTAGCACGCATGGATGGGACAAGAGGTATGCACCGGGTATTCGTTGGGAAGCCTGAGGGGAAGAGTCTGCTGGGGAGACCTAGACGTAGATGGGAGGATAATGTCAGGTGGGATCTATGGGAGACAGGAGTTGAAGGAGACTGGATTTTGTTGGCCCAGGACAGGGTCTGGTGGAGGGCTTTGGTTAATTCGGTGATGAACCTTCAGGTTTGGTAAGCCATCTAGTTAGTTAGTTAGTTGAAGAGCAATGGTGATATTAACATCCAGTTTCAAATCTTTCTGAACAGGAAACATATCAAACAAATGTTTACCTATACAACCATTCCACAGACTTCTTTTAGATATACCAAATTAAATTCTGATGTTCAACAATTTTGTTCTTGAGTCATAAGCCTTGCTGAAGTGACAAATGTATAATATGTGATCACTAGCCGATATATTACATTGAAATCCTCACTGATATACCTTAACATATTACAGGCATATACACAGCATGTCAAGACTGTGAGCTAAACCAAGTGTGGAACATCAACATTAATTTATAAAATAATTCACTGATCAATTCATTATGCATTTTCTTCATATTTATCAAAAAGCATGGTATGGCAAACGTACAGATTAACAGATCAAAGTCAACAGTACTCATCATTTTGACATTAAGACACTGAAAACTATCCTCATGTAAGAAATCGTCTAAACACATACATGCCGAATTTTGCATGCGTCAAAACAGCTGATGATTTTGTTGTCACTGCTTATTTGTGACGAAGCTTCACATGTATTACCTGAAACTGAAGTATTTTTTCCGTTTGTTCTGCTGTTAAACTTAAATTGTCTGCCATGATAAAGCTCTAAATACAAAAATTTCTGCACTTACAAGTGATAATCACTAGCACTTCGCAACAATTTGTTAAACATTAAAACAAGACTTCAACAAACCCAAACAGTGAAACATTCTTGTGTGGCAACATACACAACACGCATACGCACCGTCACAGTTAATACCAACACTGTAGTAACAAATAATCGCAGCTTATATGAACTAACTTAAGTTTTAGTAACGCATCACAGCTACCAAACAATTAAGTGCTTACAATGTGCGTAATAATTTATCATGCATTCGGGAACGTCGTCCACCGAAAAAAAACCCCGGCAGTCTTTGGTCAGCTGGAAAAATATACAATTTATTTAAAATTTCGGTTACTGAGCTTTTTGTCTTTGTCCATCGTCTGATATTCTAAAAATTCATAACGTTTCGGGAACCGAAATGTCCTCGTCCTCACTGGCTCAGTGATTGAGGTTAGCTCTTACTAATGGAACCACCAGAGTAATTGCCGCCCTCTTTCGCCGGCGAAGGAGGGCAGGTTACATGCTACAAGCGTGTTCTTTTAAAATGTCAAATTATGGACAGAGTCCAGGAACTCACTAATTAAGATTGTAATACACCACCATCATTACAGAACCCTTAAGAATCAGTTACATTGAACAGCCATGATGTAGATTTAAAATTCAACTAACTCACTGGTAGCAGAACCCACAGGTTCAGCACCGACAACACCAAAGCCCGCCACCGGCCACGATTCTGAGCCAACTCAATAAATTTTCCATCATCACAGCCCACCTCCCCTAGATCCATCTTAATGTTATACTCCCATCTCCTTCTTGGCCTGCCCAGTGGTCGTTTTCCAGGATTCCCTACAAAAATACTGAATGCACCCCTTGCCTCACCCCCCCCCCATACATGCTACATGGCCAGCCCATCACTGCCTCCTGGATTTCGCTATCCTAGATGAGCCGTATAATTCACGCAGCTCCCCATTAAGTAGTATTCTAAATGCCCCACTTATTTCATCCCTCCTAGGTCCAAATATCCTCCTGAGTGCCCTGTTTTAATTTCATCATGGATCTCATTTCTATTTATTATTGTTGTTCCAAGATACTTAAATTTTAAAACATATTCAAATGATGTGTTACTTATAATTATGTCATGCCATTGTTGCTGATGTTCATCCCATATTACGCCCATGTATTTAGTTTTGTCCACATTTACTTCTAGGCCTATTTCCTTGCTAGCTTGTAGGAGTTTCTGCATACTTGGTTGTGGTACCCACTCCATCACCTAGCAAATTTACATCATCAGCATAGGCAAGTACCTGGTGTAGACCATTCAATTCGAGCACTTCCTGATGACATGTTCTACCGCAAAATTGAAAAGCATTGGGGATAAAACATTCCCCTGTTTTAGGCCACTGTGCATTGGGAAGGGATCCAACAGAAGGTTACCTATACAAACTCTACTAGAGACACATCAAAATTAACCCAACAAGTTTCTTTGATGTTCCAAACTCAATCAAAATGCCATACAGTACCTAACTGAGTCATATACCTTCCTAAAGTCCACAAGTAGTTGGTCAATTGATCCATTATACTCCCACTTATTCTCTAATTCTTGTTGAATGCAGAAGATCTGATCAATAGTTTACCTATTACGGTGGAATCCACATTGATCATCTCCAACAGTTTCATCCATAAATGGTGTTAACCATGCTAGAAGAATATTCAATAAAATTTTGTATGTTGTTGACAAGAGAGAAATATCTCGGAAGTTACTGCACTCAGTTTTGTCCTGTTTTATGGGTGGGGACAACAATTGATTCCTTCCACTGTTGTGGTAGTACTACCTGGTTCCAAATTGAGGCTATAAGCTTATGTATCTTCTTAATAAGTCTTGAATCAAATACCCCACCAAATCAGTAAAAATGGTATCTGAAAATAGTGAGTGGGTTATTAAAGGCATCAAAACATATTGCAAACATAAATGAGATCTTTACCTAAACTATCAATCTAGAAACAACCAAATAATGAAAATTCACTACAGGAAATATTTCAAGTCATTAAATAGGCTAAACATATGCATTACAGTAAACAGATGCTACAGTCAAATCTTTACTACCATGAGAACTTATAATCTGTTTAAGTCATTGTGATCGTGATATAAACACTACAGTTCACACATCTGTCTAAGTTTGCAATACCTACATTTGGACCAGTTCCAAGGTACTTTAAAAAATTGAATTTGCAACTGCACATGTGATTTGGTGAGATAAGGATGTTATCATGACTCATTTTAAAATAAAATACCTCATTCTCCTGGAGACACAGAAATAATTAAACATCTGTAAGAATAAAAAATAGCCAAATCCAAATTCAAACCAGTTACTTCTCGAAGATGGCTGCCTCCATCATCAGGACACATTGCCCTGATAATGAAGGCAGCCATCTTCAAGGGTCTCTAAAACATTAGTAAACTTCTACCAGACTACACAGCACTATACCACAGAATATATCCAACTTTAAACTCACTGCTGTGAAAACCTCAATTCCTGCACTTACTTTCTGATACAAGCCTTGAGTGTTGCCAAACACCAGTTTATCCATCTTGCCTTGACACTTTTACCAACAACAAATAATAAATACATTATTTTATTACTATATTTAATGATTCTTACTAACATAATACAGAAACAATTGTACTTAAGGTTTGCGACTGTAATCTTGAGACTTGCAAGGAATGCAGTAAGTCGGAAGAGTTAAAGGCAGACGCTCTTTCCTCCTTCCTCCTTCACCCCACTTCCTCACCCCGCAAGTCTCAAAATTACAGTCGCGAACAGTACATTGACTTCAGTCTTCTTTGCTGGAGACGATCAGATTTTACCCTTTACTCCACGGTGCAGGTTCTTTCTTGAAACGTTTATAGTTGCTCAGCTGGTCAAGAAACTCTATGCTTTTATGTAAACTAAATATTTATTATTGTGTTCACAAAAGCCTACTACTGGATCCTACCCTGAGGCAGTTCATTATAGTCCAACTCTTCACATCCTGTTTCTCTATGATCCATTTTGACATAATCCTCTCATATTCACCTACATATATTCCCTTCAGGTTTTCTGACCAAACTTTTGTATTAATTTTTAATCTTCCCATGCATGTTGCATGCCCCATATAACTCATCTCCTTGAATTTTCTGTTTCTTCCTCTTTCTCTTTGCTCCAGATATCCTCTTCAGCACTTTGTTCCCAATTGCCATGAATATGTGCACATTTTTTACTTGGGGTGAGAGACGAAGTTTCACATTCATATGAAATCACAATTAAATTACAGTTTTGTATATTTCAGTCTTTAATGTTTTAGTTAAGAGATTCTGAATTGTACAATAGTAAGAATTTCCTGAATTTAATTTGCTCTTAATTTCATCATTATCATGATTTTGATTTGTTATTGCCATTTCTAAATATTTTAAATTTGCCATATTTTCAAGGAATTTTTGTACCCTTTACCACTCTCAACTCTGATTATGCAGAAATATTTATATTATTTTTGGAATGAAGGATGATATGACTCAACTATCAGTGATAGAACTATGATCTGTACATCTTCCCATTGTCACAACCTGGTGCAGAAACATGAACAGAGGATGTGTGCACACTTCTACGAAGGACAGATGGACCATCATACACTGAGCTGAATGCAGTGTTATGGCGGCTTGGTCTTGGAGGTTGGTAACAACAAGGTAGAAATGTGAGTAAGAAAGTTCGTCGATATTTATCACTCAGAGCACAGTAAAGCATAAAATTACAGGCTGCATTGATAGTGACAAGGAAGTTAAAAATGTTTCCCAAGCCAAGACAAATGTTTTCTGCATCTGATTTCTCTTGTGGCTTGTGAAACAGATTGTAGATTAGGGCAATAGCAGTTGGAATCTGACACACCATAAACAGGATCACCACAGCAATCAGAGTGATGGTAATCTTATTCTCCTGCGTCTGGATGCTTTCACTTTGCTCAACCTGAAACATAATAATGACTGTCATGGCCAGAAATCAACATGATTCTTTTTCATGTTCTTATTTGCATAGCTACTTCAATAAAAGTAAATATAGATACTGTAATCTGTAACCAGCTCAGTTAAAGCCATCTTACCAGAAAAACCAAAGTCATGGTATGTGGTCTTCAGTTGGTCAAGAAATTCACTTCTTTTATGGAAACTGAACACTCATAAATATGTTCATAAAAGTCCACCATTGTAACCTATCCACTCCTTGCTTAGCACTCAATTTCTCTGAGACTCATTTTAATATCACCTTCCCATTTATGTGCGGATCTTCCAAGTAGTTTCTTCCAATAATGTATTCTAACTAAAATTTTCTCAGCACCCTGTTCTCAAACACCCTCATTATAAATGGGAGACAAAGTTACACATCCATTCAAAATAACACAAAGTCTCATTATAAATGGGAGACAAAGTTACAAATCCATTCAAAATAACACAAGTTTTCACAAGACTGTAAACCAAAGGCTCAAAGTAACAGCTAAGACTGTGCTATATGAAATACAATTCAACTTCAGATCAGGAATCATTTGGCAAGGAAGTTCTGAGTTCTAGTTTTGGTGTAGGGCCCTAGGCAAATTCATCATAATTTCAACATTGTTAGTATTATTAATCAAAAATTATAAGATGGTTCAGACATATAGCATGCAGTGGAAGAACTAAGTACACATACAGAATTCTGGTTGAAAAATCTCACATGAAGAAACCACTTGGGAGACCTAGGTGAAGACCAAAGAAGGAAGAAGTAAGATGCAAAGTCATGGACCCAATGCTGTATGACCAGGTTCCATAAAACACAGAATAAAGACCTTGCACCCTTAGATACAGACCTGTGTCATTCTACACCGCTGCTGCTGGCTCTTGTGAACGGCATGGATCAGGAACGAGTTGAAAATTCCAAGAAGAATTAGTGGAAGGAACACAAAGGTGATTGTAGTGAACCAATAGAAAACAGCCCGATAAGTCTTGTTGTGATAAACCTTGGTAAGCTCAACAGAATAAACCTGGGTAGCATTGTCTCTTGAGTCCGGGATTTCAGTTGCTTCATACTCTAGTGCTGTAGTCACCGTGGTTACAAAGCAGAAGACATATACCAGGATGATCACTTTCCTGGCACGTGACTCTGTGCACATCAGTCGGCCACGCATTGGGTGGCAAACTGCGATGTACCTCTCAATGGTAAAGGAGACAGTCAGCCATATTGATGTGTACGCTGGAAGAAATGACACAGTGTCATAAAGCAGATAAATTAACTTTGCTTACAGTTCTTCAACTGGTCAACAAGGACTATCTCTGAAGGTCATCAATGGATTTTGAAAAAAACTTGGTTTTAAGGTTTACACTATAGAAACAAATTTAGATTGGAACCGAATCAGTTTAATGTGACCCCTACTTTACTTAAAGCTTCAACATACAGAAAGAACTGTGCTTAACCTCGAGGTTTACAACTTACTGGAAACATTTATTGATATGATTATATTTAATAACATAGGGAAATATAATTTGTAACTACTGAGTGTGATACTTGTAGTCCAACTACCTTTGCAACAATAGATTTGTATCAGCAATATGAAAATACACAAAATGATTATTTTATATGTTTTGTAAAGTTTTAAAACTTGGTCTATCGCAACCAGAAAATAAAACAAGACTGTGAGTGTTGAGAACAGGATGCTGGGGAGAATATTCAGACCTAATAAATAGAAATTAGCATGAGGATGGAGAAAGCTATATAATGAATTGCTTCATCAGTTGCTCTGTTCACCTTACATTCTTAGGGTCATCAAGATGATATGGATAGACAAGCAAGACTAATGGGAGAGATTATAACTATAAACAAAACTTTATTGGTGAACCTGAATGGAAGATACTATTTGGGGCATTTAGGATTGTTTGGAAGGATAATATTAAAGAAATAGGTTGTGAGTACATAGACTGGTCTCATGTGACTCAGGATAGGCTCCAGTAATAGGCAGACAATTCCTTGATCAGCCAAGCAACTGTTGATTGTTAGAAGGACTCTACTCCACACACTTAGTTGGTCATTCTGTAATAAACAAAAATCAAAGGCAAAGAGGTATGCATAATGAAACAGAATTGAATTTGTTTCTTAAAAAAGAGTCCTCAGTACTTACTGGTTGCATCAGTGAACCAAGTCCCAAAGCCATAGTACTGCCAGTACCACCGGAACGAGGATTCATGTGTGTTGGGGTAATGTTTCAATGAAAGGGTGAATACAAATATGAGGTAGAGGAGGTCAGACACTGCGAGTGCTGTTAGGTATACATTGGTGGAACTACGCATCCTTCTGCGTGTCAAGACCACAATGGTGACCACATTTCCCAGAACACCAATCCCCACCACCAGGGGCACTAAAACTCGCTGTATCCAGAACCGTGAAGCATCTCTGAACTGAGCAGACAATACCTCGCCTTCACCTGCCTGGAAAGTGTGATTGTCTGCCATAGATTAGTCACAGGGCTGATGCATCAAGAATAAAATGTAGAATCTGTAAAATAAAACACACATATTTAATAAGATCATCAGGTCAGATTTGAGGATTTCATGGCAGTGAGTCCAAGGATGGCTGTCTTCTAGGTTGTTGCACCATGCAGTCTGGTAGAAGTTTACCATCGTTTCAGAGGTCCTTACCGCCTCTAACATCAGGGCATTGCCCTGATGGTGGAGGCAGCAAGGATCTCTGAAATAATGGCAACCTTTTATCAGACTTCATGGCGCAACAACCCAGAAGACTGTGATCTTAAGATCAGATGTTATTTATCTCAGACAGTATGTCAAGACTTCAATTTCTGGCAGAGGTAGGTATTTTTATATTTACCACCATACCAGCTTTAAAAAGAAAGGAATAAATAGGACAGTGGCATTATTTAATGTATTAACATACACCAATTGTTGCTAAAACCTGAAGTTTATGGCAATAGAAACTATTGATTTCCTTTTTTAATAATAGTTGGTATGTGCTGTATGAAATGTTATGCAAAATCATTTATGTTACTAGAATATCTTTAAAATTTTAAACATATACATTTTTAACAATTGAGTGTTTTCTTTCATTTTTGCGAATTATCCGGGAACATGTATTTCCCAGCAAACCCGAATAAGTCTATTGTATTCCCACGTGTAATACTTGTCAACTTGGTTACAGCTGACTTGGGCTCGTTTAACACAAAAGCAGTCAACATCAGCAGTTTATACACTCACAATCTTCTGTTTCATGTAGGTCACGATCACACCAATGTTGCACCACGGCCCACAGAATAGTTGCATTTTTTCTAATAATTCGACGTGAGGCCGCAGCAGCCTACATCACAAAACTTTGGCGACAAAGAATCAGCCTGCCTTAAGACGGTAACATCTCACAAGACTTCAGAGTCACCAGAGAGGAAGTGCATGTCGTAAATTACATTGAAAATATTTGTTGCTGAATACGTCTGCATCGTTGAATTAACCTCGTTTTGTATTTAACTTGAATCAACTTCCAAAAGCTGTATATCGGATCGATTGTGAGCCGATTTAGGTTCAAGGTTCAGACGTTCATTTACAAGGTTCGTTTCACGAAAATCATGCAGTTCGGTTCGATTTTTTCTTAACAATTAGCTTCCGTTCAAAGGCCTGAAATAAAGCGAGAAATAAACACTTTTATATTAGCGTATATATTTACTTTGTTCTGTATCAACCTCATCGTACCTTTGTCGCTGGATATGGCTTTTTTAAAATCTTTTTTAAGTTTGGAGGGTACCAGATGGCGACACTCCTACATCAGTAATATTTATAGACAAGCAAACCGACAGAGCCTCGTTTCCAGCATGGTGTGTAGGCAGGCGCCGGCAAAACACGATATAGTCCAAACCTATTGCACCGTCTACAGATTCAAAAAAGGACTGCACTGTAAATAACAGACCGGGCGAACAAATTCTTGGTTTTATGGAACACGAAGCCCGCCACTAGATGCTATCCATAGATAACCTATTTACAAGTAAATGTCCTAAATTCTTTTCTTGTTTATCTGCATATCTCAAATGGTATTTAGCTTCAAGTATTCCGACCAAAATTGTGTATGCCTTTCTCATACATGTTACACGACCAGCTCAAATCACACTTCTTAACAATAACGTGAATAACATTGATTTTATCAAACCGTCGTTTACTCTCTCTAGCCTCAAGATCAGAAAAAATCATAAAGTCACCCCCCCCCCAAAAAAAAAAAAAAAAAGCAGGTAAAATTTTGAATTTAGTCGTGGACTTTCCAGGTACGACGCCGGTACATGAATTATCCAATGTTCAACGATATGAAGTATTTTTTGCACTTAATCAGATCTTAATTTCATTTCGATTTGTTATTGTTACTCCCAACTTTGCCACATTTTCAAAGGATTTGTTATTATTTCATGAATTCATATTATGAACTGTCAGCTTCGCGCTGCAGCCACTTTACCCTGCACCAGTAGCTTCGGTGATTTATTTTAATACAGAGTCGTGTGAGCTGACGGACTCAAACTGACCACTCACCACACTGCAGGCTGCAATATTGCAGTGTTTATTATTTCTTCTGTGTGACTCCACTTTTCCTGGATTAGACAGAAAGCTTTCGTTTGTCGTAAACAGTCTATCTAGCCGTCACTCACTACGGTTTATTATTTGATGTCTACAAAGCCATTGATTCATTGCCGCCTTTTATATGGGTGAATCTCGGTGCCACTCTACCAGTAGGGTAATGGTACGGACAGGGGGAGTTTTGAGAGAGTAATAGCGTGATATTATTAGTGAGCTCAAAGCAACGAAGACGAGATTTTCCGGGCGTATAGCACATATGCTACAGTTGATCTTCAATGTGAATAGTACATATTCTCATTAATGAACTTTAATGTAAATAAACCAAGAATTTTTCCAAACTAATTCTGCTGTACGCAATGTTAACACGAGGAATAAAACTTAACTTCATAGACCAATTGACAACCTCTTATGCTTTCGTAAGAGTGTGGGAATACAAATTTTCAACAGTCTATCATCAAGTCTCACTAGTCTTGTGAATAAAACGGAGTAATTTAATGTAGCATTAAAAAGATACTTAATTACAGACTCCTATTAATCTGTCAATGAATTTATGTTGTTTACAAATAAGTGATAAATTTTCTTTTGGGTGTAATGGGTAGATCTATTTGTAACTTATCAATTTCTTAGGAGAACCCTTTGTTTGTATTATGTAAAATTTAAATAATAGTATGAATTGTACTTTATAATATGTACTGTATTATTATTAAGACATTTTCCACATCCTATTGTCATCTGATTATTTTATGGATCCATGGAATGTAATAAAATATGTATGTACGTATCTATGAGAGAGATAAGAAGGGTGTATAACTTTAAATTGTAAAAGTTCAAGGTAAGAAAGCACTTCAAGGACCAATCACACGCAGGAGGGCAATATAAAATTTATCACAGTAAAGTATACTGGATTCAAGTGGCTTAACATTTTGTCCTGGAGGTTTCTCCTCAAGATGACGATGAGCCTTCGGGTTCCATAAAAGTTGCTAATTTCTTTACTATATGAGTGACTATTAGAATCTCTAGAACCTATGAAGTTTCTTACTGACAGCATGCGAGGTGTGTCAGTTATTATTTATCTCCAACATTGCAAAACCTGTTCCCATTACATTTAGTACCGTGCCGTGTGCAACACGTATTAAGATATTCAGGCCCAACGTTTATTCAAAAAAAAAAGTTGACAGTGGAACCACTGTTCCGGAGAATTTGACGTAAATACGGCTATACGGAAAGGAAGTTTATATATTGGCTTTATTCTAAATATTTCCTTCATACATGCTTTACATTTGAGTAAAGTTTGATTAAGACATTGCTTATTTAACTTGAATTAGTTACGCTTAAGATGGGTCTGTGGTAGCTGAAGGTAATGTAAGGTAATGTATTGTAAGGTAATGTAATGAAATGTTTTTAGATAACAACAATGCCGAGTAAATAGATGTTCCTTAGGTAACCATTATTGTCGATTTGTTGATAAACAGATGAAGTTTCCCAGCTAACCATTGTTGTTTATTTGTTGATAAACCATTGTTACACTTTTTCGTTTCACCTTTTTGTTTCACTTTTTGCCGAATGACACTGACCCTAAAATATAGACGTATTTACATCAAAAAATCTCTAAAAAGTTGATATTTAGCGAAACACAAGAAACATCTCACGCAATAAAACGTCCTGAGCGGAACACCAACAGTGGGACGTTTCCCATTAAATTTGGACAGATATATTCAAAACTTAACGGCCACTGAGATTCACGAAAGATCACAGAAAGCCGCTCCGTAGACATACACATCTTTTCCCCCTCTAATAGTTGGTTATTTTGTTACGTTCTATCAAGCGCTCGATGGGGATAGGATAATTGTGATCTGGAGAAATGTGGCAGTAGGGTACTATTCACACATCAGCTCCCGTTAAAATATAAATTCTTCAATACATACAATTCGAAG